TATATGAGATGTCTCTTGTAGGCAGGGTACCTTGTATGCATTTTCTTACCAACCCATATTTCACTGTACGTACACTGGTGTCTCTTATACCCATTTGTCTCTTATATCAGTGTCTCTTGTAAAGAGGTTCGACTGTATAGAATGGTTTCTTATATCCGAAAGGATGTTGTAATATGAATCATCGTAACAAAAGCAGATGGTACATAAAGAAGAGATGCGGGTCTAAGAACGTGTTTTTTTTTTAATTACCAATTTTCTGTTGTCACCTGTTTTGATAAGATAAGTAGCTGGGCCGTCCAGCAAGCCAAAGATGCCATCCGGGTTCAAAGACTTCAAGCATTCATCTGAGGCACCGCCATCATCACCGACGAAGGGAGAGAAGGGATAAGGGTATCCCCTCTTACCCCCGCCTCTCCCAAAGAAAGCTGCCAGATTCTAAATAAAGTTTATTCATTCATTCATTTAACTGTTCTGGAAAAAAAAATATCTATGTCAAGACTCAACTGGAAATGCTTTAAAATTGCATCTAAAGACAATAAGGTCGCTGTTCAAAGGCCAGAAGTGAGCACACTTTGAGCACCTTGACGCTGATATTGCGCCCCCGCTCACTATTGTCAATCACACGAGACAAAAAGCCGAGCCTCACTCTTCAAACGACGGTTCTCGCATTTCATCAGCGCAAGAAATGCAGCAGACTCTCGTTAAATGGAACTTGAAGGGACCAGAAAAATCTGTTCCGTTTAACAGGAGTTTTTTTCATTGAGAGATGAATCAGGATGGAGAATCCAAGTATGAAACCAATCATGCTGGAGGCAGCTGTTCCGTTTAAACAGCAGTTTCGTTTGACAGACTTCCGTTTACTGAGAGTCTACTGTAATAAAAAGAAGCCCGCTTTTTTCAGGCACCGCGTCTGGCTTTTAAATCAAGTGGTATGGATCGGCGACCGCCATTGGCCGCTGCGCGCCTGTGTGCGCTGTGGAGCCTACTTGCTGGGTTCATGTCTCGTCGAGCAGAGCAGCTGAACAATGCTTTTCTCATGTGCTTATCTCCATTGTGGATGAAGAAAGCCATAGCTCACAAAATAGCTACGCTGTCAATGTGAAAGTTGTTTAGGCAGAGCACTCTGGAGGCATAGGCTACAAGCAACTGGTCCGATTAGCAACAATTCTTAGCTTGCAAAAGCCAATACATCATAAGTGATTCACAGCCGTCAGCTTGAAAGTCCGTGATACAGCAATGGATGCCGTCTACGCCCATCTTACGTGGTCGAGGGAGCTCACAGTGAGGAAAGTTAGCAGGGACGACATTGCCATTATGTACGATGCTACGTGGCACAAACGCGGCCCCAAGAGCCACAATGGCGTCGCCAATGTTGTGTCTCTTGACACTAGACTTTAATTAGATTTTGAAGTCCGTTAAAACTTCAGCCTAGCTAGCAGTCAGCAATATGCTCTGCCCAGTGGAGCAGAAGAAGTTTGGCAAGCATTTCATGGCCCTGTCTGTGAGCGAAATGTCTGCGAGGGATCAGTTCAAGAGAGCTGAGAGGGACAAACTGGCAGTGATGGCGGTTGCTTCTATTAGAAGGATTCTTCTTTTTGTGTGCAAATTTCATCGCATTTAATGATATTTTTCACAAATTTAAACATTCAATGTTAACCTTTGAACTCGTTTTCTCTCTAAACATTAATTTTGCCATTTTCTTCAATGTGCGCCTCTTTCTGCGTGTATTCAATGGGTCCCTCTTTTTGCGGGTACTTCTGGAGCTCAGATCTGCATGAAATTTGGCCAAATTTTCTCTAAAATATGAGAAATGCAATTACTTCACTTAAATTTTGGTATTTTCCTTATATGATAAAATATTCTATGTAAACTTTTACTAGGGTAGGAATAATATGGACTTCCTGATGTTTATTATTTTTCACATCTATGACATATTTTGTATGCACTTCCTATTAGTTTTCTGCATTCTACACTTTAATTGAAACATTATGAACTATCTAAGGCAAAAAATTATGGAAGGTTAGTGATGGAAAGAGGGGGGGGGGGGAAGGCTTAAGGTTTTCACCTTGTCATGTTGCAGAACTAAATGTATACAACTTGCAAGAAAGCTACCGTATTTACTCGCACAATAGGCGCACTTCTTTCCCAGAAAATCCTGCTCCAAGTTCGGGGTGCACCTAATACGCGGGGTAAAATTTCCAAAAATTTTATTTCCAACTAGTATAGACGACGGATAACGTATACTACGTCATTTAACTCACGAATGCGCACACTACAGCTGAGACAACTTTATTCATAAGTTACACTAGCGCAAGATGTGTTGAGCATGCAATCTCGCCTGTCTGAGAATCAGGGTATGTGAGGCGGTGTGCATTAAAATTTACAAAAATTAACATTAAGAGACTCACGTTGCCAACAAAATGAACACCAAAAAAAATACGAGAAGAAAGCGCCATATCATTCAGGCCACATAGATTGCGTGCTGAACAGTACCGGTCGTTCTATTTCACGGGCTTGCACCCCATATCTGAGGCATTGCAATCAAATCGCGAACTACCATTTCAGTGTTACAAACGCCACCCAAGCTCCCTTTTTTTTACGCAGAGCCATCGAAAAGAGTTATGTTGATTCCATACAAAATCGCAATTCGCAACGTTCATGACCTAATAGGTGGTGCAACTGTACATCCAACATGGCGGTCGTTGAGATGATTGCCTCAAGAGAGACGGTACCGGAAAGTACACGTCTGGCGAAGAGTAAAATTCATGCTTCAGTATGCTTCGATTTATGTTTTTGTGAAAGTAGGGAAGCACTAACATACTATATTAAACAAATAAATGTCAAGTAGCCAATTAGGCGGATGAATATGAGCAAAATCGTAAATAACGTACACACAATCTTCACATTGCTGGCTGTGCGTAATCACAAGCAACGCCTTCTGTCATGTTGGAAAAATGTCAGTACTAATTTCTCAGTAATATCAGAAACATTTTTGTAGGCGCACTTTATCATGGTATTGCTTGCATTGCGTTCTGCCGCAAAGCTTGTTCAGCTCACTTCATGCTTCAATACTGAAGCATGAGCACCAACTGAGGGATGTCCTATTACCGGCAATATTATTTTATGATGCTCTCCTGATTAAAAAAAACTGTAGAATATCAAGAGAATGAAGTTGGCAAGCAGCAAACAAAACCGGTAGCAATATAGAAATTTCATGCTTAAGTGGTGGCATTTCCGTTACTATTCTATGGTTTCAGTGTTTAAATGTACTAAAGATAGCATGATGCGAGGCAGAAAGGACAAAAAAGAAAAAGCGCCATCCACAAGTAATACGAAATGCAAATTGCTGCAGATGTAAAAATCAGGGAGGCACTTCGCAGATGATTCAGATGTCAGATGTGGAATGATGCAACGAACGTTTTTAAACTGGTATTTTCATTCTATTCTAGAGGCGAAATGCATTCCTAATTAGTTCTCGTACTGTTATGAACCGTGGAAACTTGGGCAAGTTGGTAGGACATAACTGAATATATGTAGTAAAGCGTAACCTAGGAGTAGTTACAGCATAATTATTGAAGCAATAAACAAGGACACAAAATAACGCCAACTTTCAGCCTTGAAAGTCCTTGTACGGTGACTTTCAACCTTGAGAGATTGAAAGTCAGTGCTCTTTTCTTTCCTTGTTTATTGCTTCCATAGTTACGCTATCGAGCAGCGCTGTTGTGGCCATTTTTTGTTTATTTTTTCTTCGCGTCAGTTAACATAAAAAGGCGTCGAATTGCATCCATGCAAATACGGTACAGAACTACTCATCACGGGAAAGTTTTGGGTGTGCCTATTATGCGTGAAAATAAAAAAAATCTGATTTCTCGCGACCAAACTTGGGTTGCGCCTATTATTGCGAGTAAATATGGTGTTATATATTTGAAATCAGCACAAAAATTTCTATAAACAGCTCAAGTTTCATTGCTCTACAGTGAATACGAAATAAAGTGTCTTCTAGTAGCATCTCCCCTTAAGCATAAGTAAACACTGCTAAACCAAGTGATTAAGGGGGGACGTGGCAATGGGAATAGTAAATTTGGTCAAAATGTTCAGTTTTTCAAGTATTTTTTTCTGTAATCCTGAGACCATGTTTCACATCATAGTGTGATTTCAGACCAAAATAAGAAGTTGAGAAACAAGCATTTTACTGGTGGGCTGTCATCAAAAGCTACGTGAAAATTGGGCATAGAAAAATGCAAATTTGGAGCTTTCCCTTGGCACAGTGCCACCATATTGGCATCATCATAGAGAGGACAGAGTGGAGCTCAAGACAGAATCAATACTGCATTACTCCGATGAAAATGAAAAATAAAGCCAGCTTTTTTCCGACTTCCATAATATCAGCTCTAGCTCCAATTTCTTTGAGCTTAATTTTCTCAGCTTTCATTTTTGGAGCACTTGTCGGTCGTCCCTCTGCCATTTCACAGCAAATTAAGCTACAGCCATTCCGTTTTTTTTTTCTTTTTTTTTTTTTGCACTTAAATTGTGAGACATTGATGAGTGCCATAAAGCTGTCCATATTTGTGTGCACATCATGCAGACTTTTGTAATTGGCTTTTTGTAAAAGTTGGTCATAAGACAATATGTCCTCGACATTTCAAAAAATTTTAGTGTGTTTATTTAAATATTAAAAAAAAAACCAATAGCATTACGGCATAAAATGGACCTTTGTGAATATCCTTACGCAAATATTTTGACGAACTTGTGTCTAATTAGCTAAATAATTTTGGGATGACAATGAGAGCCTATCAAGTGTTGTAACTCAAAAGTTATTTTAGATAGCTCAAAAACAATTTCATTTATGGTATCAGCACAACAAATGACATGAGCATGCCGAATTTCAATTCTTTGGCTTCGTAAATAACAAAGATAATTTTCATTGCCATGTCCCCCCTTAATTACAAGATTCAAAATGGCTACACAGTGCAATGTACAGGTGACAATAAACAACTTACCATTTTCAACAAGACTCAAGGTTCCGTGCTTGCTTAAGAGCTGCCTCCTTGCCACAGCATCCCACATTCTTTCTTGATTAGGATGCCGAGCCTGCACACTTCAGTACAAAGAGTTATTCAGTCAAGGACAGTCATCTGCAGTGCATTAGCGAAGCCAGTAGTAGTAGCAGTAAGGTCAAGTAATTCCTTTACTGCTTGAAGTTTTACAGTCAAGATGAAGAAAAACTTGGCCAGTTCATACTGGTTCGTGGCTAATAAAGAGCGAAGCACTAAAAAAAGAACAACTACAGACCCAAGCTGACCTTCAAGTCAAAAATGGATGAAAACAAATCAACCTTTTTAAATTTTTATTATCAATTTTGACGAAATTTGCTGAGCTCATGTAATTAGGCATCTAAGAGCACTGAACAAACAATTCAAAAGTTGTGGGTCCAGATCAGACTGGAAGATGATTTCTTGTCCACTTTCATTTATTTCGATTTGCTTTCTTTTGCCTAATTGTCAGACACAAAACATTATTGGGCCCTGAGAAATGCTACTCCTTTAGAGCAATGCTGTTGGCCGCTCCCATGTCGGGACGGGGAGGCCTAACCTCCCGCTGCATCGTGGGCTAGACAGCTTGTAGTTGTGATAGTAATTATAAACTTCATAGAGCAGAGTCAGCTGGAAATTTAATTCCTTGAATTACGTACTTATATGTTTACTATTTTCTGATTCTCTTAGAGCTCAATATATCTGGGTCCGCACATCCATATTTGTTGAATGAAAATTCCTAAGTCTAAGAAATGGCACCAGCGGGAGAGGGGGGGTAAATTTTCGTCTGTCCCTTTTGCCCCCCCCCCCCCCCCCCAAGAGCAAACATAATAAAAAAAAATGCAGAAGTTCCCCGTCTCAATGCCCCCTTGAAGAAACTCACTTATCCTGGGTGCCTACCCCCCTCCAAGAAGAAATATCCTGGGCACCGTCCCTATGAAATCTCAATCGAAACAATCGACCAAATGCAAATGTGTACTCACTCTTGCAGTATCTGCTCTGCCAAGTGGTGAGCAAAGTCAAAGGCATCACAGATAGGCAGGAAGGACAAGGCGAACTCAATGTCTATCAGGAGTCAGAGAGAAAATACAGTAAAAACCTTTGCTCAGAACCAGTATCGATAGTAGCAACATAATTACAGTAGCTTCTGTGAATAGCTCTGCTACTTAGTCACAAAAGTAATTGTGCATGTAACCAAACTTAGTACCAGGACCACATTGGTCAAGTTTCCTTGATAGCACCTTCCTTGATACAAGGTGTTATACTCAAACTATTGCGAGAATGACTAGCCAATGTTGTAGACTAGGCACTTATACAAAAACAGAAAAAAAAAAAAAAAAAGGAAAACACTTTAAGGACCCGTGAGCTACGATACAACACGATGCAGTCTCCTGGCTGTAGCAACTTTCTGATAGTTGCATTACTGGGTGAGAAGTAACTAAAGTACCACCCAGAAGCTGTCAAGAAATGCAAAACCACGGAATATTACTGAAACAAATGAAGCACCTGGAATGGACTTGACAGCAGCACCATATACGAGGGAAGGAATTTTCACCTTGAGGACAGCATCTTCAGCTTCTGCACCATCCTACACAGTAAGAAAAACATTGCAGACGATAACTACACGTTTCCAGACACCACATATGTGATGTTTGTAAAGTATCGTATTTACTAGGAGTGTGCGAAAGTCCGCCATTTAGATATTTTGCGAGTAGTGTGTGCTACAAGATTCGATTCGGACTGGAATTTTACTATTCAAGCATCCCAAAGACAAATGGTCATCATCCAATTGACAATGGCACCTTTAAAACTTTAATAAGCTTCACCCCATCACTCTTGTAACGCTGCACAGATGCCTTTCAGGCTCTGCTACGGGGGCAAATGCATTGACTTGGGAAAATGCTGGTTTCAACCAGGAGACAATAGATGGGGTAAAGGTTATGGCTCAATTAATGCTGTTTTAAACTTGAAATTTTGGCAGGAAGTAAAAAAAAAATCGGAGGACAAAAATTTTTAGCATCCAAAATTTCAGATTTTTGAATATATAATACCATGTAAAAGCAAGATTTGAAACTCCGGACTCAAATGAAACACACCCTTCTCCGCCACCACATTGGTTGAGTTTCCACAGAGGTTAAAAGAGGAGGAGAGGCTGGGGAAATAGCATCTCTACCTTTCACGCGTAAAGTATTGTCGGCAACACTTTGAGTGTACCAAATCATGTACAGTAAAAGCTCGGCAATTCAAAGTCACTGGGGCCGCGAGAAATCTTCGGATCGAGTAGGTTTTAGAATTAATAGAACATACAGAGAGTGAGATGCAAGGAACTAGAAATTATTCGAAGCAATCAGGGCTGATAATTCGCTGTGCCGGCTAAATTGCAGCTCCAAGGATTGTGTTTTCCCACAATACTTGGTCTTAATTTTGCCACAAAGACGGAAGAACGGTGGGCCTCACTACTGACACCGAAAAAACAACAATAACAAAAAACGCTGTTGTGATCAAATGAAATGCACACCTGCGGAAAACAAGTAGGCTTGGTTGAGCTTTCAACCGGGACACTTGCATTTTTTTTCTTTTCACTCCTCCAGTGTGCGAGTGTTCTTCCTCGGCGTGTGCGAGGAAGAACACTCCGTCAAGAACGTGCCAACTCAAGCAGAACCCCCGAAGACGGAAGAATCATCCGCCTCTATTTCCTCATGGAAACAACAAACACCATTGTCGTTGTCTCCACACAACCTGGATACGACCATGGGAAGAAACTGTCGCCCCCAGCTTGCGTTTCAGCACCTCAACTCGCCTCCCAGCACAACCAGATACCAACCCACAATCAGAGCCAGTGACAAAGCCCCCGGCACCTCCTGCAGCAGTGGTAGAGCTAAGCGGCACAATTCTGTATCCTCCAGCTGGCAAGAAGGCCAACAACCTCACAACAACTCACGAAGCCATCGGGGACTTCCTGTCCGGCTTACCAGCCGCGCCAACTTTTGGCGCAACGTGGCCGCAGTGGACAACCATCCCCTCGTGGATCCTGCACTTCTTCTCCAGGTCAGCCGGCTCTGCAAGATCCACGTATGGGGAGAACTCATGCAGAACAGCTGCGTGGCCCCGTCTAAGGCGTTGACGCAACCCTCGGCTCTGGCGACATCGCGGCCAACTTCGATTCTGCCGTCCCTGTCGTCTCCTGTATCCGACGAGACAGATGCCTCGCGATCACCTTTCAGAGCACCCCGGTACAGCCGGTGGTGTGTGTCCCTGTTCAAACTCCAGAAGCCGGTCCGCCCTAGACAGCCACGGCCCCTTCAAAGTGCCCGCTGGGGTCACATCGACCACGCCACAGCACCCTGCTCGTAAGGAAACACTGCCTTCGCTGCGGTGGCAGCCATGTGAAAGCTCCGTGCCCCGCGGAGCACCCTCGCTGCATCAACTGCAGCGGCACCCATCCAGCTAACAAGCCGCGCTGCCCTTCTTGGCAGATTCACCACAAGGCCGCCATCATTATTGCTTCTTCGTATTGCCCCGTGACACGCCGCCAAGCGCTGGAGAAGGCCAGGACAGCTGTCAACAACATCGACAAGCGTGGCAGCGCGACAATCGTGAAGGGCCGCTCCTTTCGGGACGTTGTCGCTGGTGGTGACCGATCAGTGCTGGCATCCGCCCCTCGCCCTGCTACGAGTGTGCCTCCTGCCTCTACGAGCCCGACAACCCCATCACCCCCTCCTCTGGATATTGCGGCCCCCCGAGGTCGACCTGTAGGACGCGGTGATTAGCGTAGTTGTGGCAGCAATTCACGCAGTGAATGTGCTTCTGCCGGCGTATTCTCCGGAGCGTGGATTGTGTGCCGCGGCTCTCACTGCGCATGAAGACATCGCCCGGCAAGTTAGACAGCTGGATTACCACATCGAGGCCATCAGCACTCTCCCCCATGAGTACACCCGAACTTTCAATTTTTCTGTGCCTGGGCTACATGCCCAGGCGAGTGTTTCACGCACACCTGTCTTATAATGCGCCTCTTCAACTCATCGACTTCTTCTTTAGCGAATATTTTTTCCCTGGCCTTTTTGGCGGCTTTTCCGGACGGTTGCAGGCCCTCGCGGTGAGGTTAGGGCGCGCGCTGTGAAAGGCAGAGCAAATCCTTTATTTTATTTTTTTTATCCCTTTTACCTTTTTCCTGCCTATCCCCTTTACTCCCACATCATCCCTGCGCGGTGTTGTGGTGGTGTCCTCCATAGAAAGAAACAGTAACGGCACCGCGTTTATTTTTCTTTTTCCCTTTCAAAATTACTTCTGCGGAAAACAAGATGTGCTTCACTGCAACACAGTAGTGACACGCTGACAGCATGTCACCTGCTCTTTGCTGCTTCAGCCCATCATGATGCAACCGTTCGCCCATTCTTTCTGGGGAAATAAAAAATGTAATAATGGCCAGTGTGACGAAATTCGTGATATCTTTTGGCTGGAAAACATGATGATTGAAGCTTCCGAACTTAGTTTTCGAAGTAGGCGTTGCAGGCAAGAACTCCGCCAGCAGTGCAAGTGCGCGAATTGCAAGAGAAACCGGATATCAGAGGTTTGCATACATCGTGAATTCTGCCAAACTACCCTTTATTAATTTGTTTATATTCCCAGAAAGAATGCGTAAATCATGATGTGCTGACGTTGCGAAAAGCATGCAATATGCTGCTCGCGCGTCACCACTGTATTGCAGTGAGGCACATCTTGTTTTCCACAGGTGCACATTTTAGTTGACCATGACACAATTTTTTTGTTCTTTTTCGCTGGGAGTAGCGAACCTCAGGTGCTTTCGCAGCCACTCATTAGTATCGCTACGTTGCATTACCTTGTGGCTCTTAAGGGCCGTCATTTCCACGGGTTTGCGGTAAAATCAAGATCGGGAAGTAGCGCATGGCACCCAAAGTTTTCGAATTAACGAGACTGGTGCTGACCACCCCTTCTAATTATCTGCTGAGACTTGCATTGCAAAGTACGGGACCATGGAAATAATAGAGTTCGAATTTACGCGGTTTTACTGTACACATACAATTCTGCCTTTGCATTGCCTTTATAAGACAATTATGGAACACCACCCTGCCAGTGCTTCATCAACTTAGCCGAACGAAACACTCTCACGCTGCTATCTGTGCGGCGAGCAATAGGGCCACCTTACAGAGTGGATGTCTCCTTGCGGCTGCCTTTTCTGCACCTAGGCTGGGTGCTGGGTGGATGCCGGTTGTTGTGCCGGTTGTGCTTTGGAATGTATGTAGCGGGAGTAATGTGACCCGCGGCTGGCTGTCTTCTGCACATTGTCAGCGCCGCTGGCCAGGAATGCGGTCGTAAGGTCGGGCGATGGACACGCCTGGGACTTGCGCAACTGCCTGCAGTCCGGCGCCCTCGTGAGTGCTGGTCAGAACCGTAAGACGTGTCGGCACGAGTGACGGGTCATCGCGCCGATGGCAACGTTGCTGTTGCGGGAGCAGTACTGAGGTGAAGTCGTCGAGCTGGACAGTGCAGCAGTGTCGACCTGCAGCGATGTCATCGTGCACGGACATTGTGAAGGGACATGTGTTTTTTTTTTTTTTTTTGTGAGAGCTTGTGTAGCTGACTTTTTTTTGTTTCCGGGATATGGTTTGAATTAAGGTTGAAAAGATGTGGGGGTGCTGACACCCCTGTAGAGTTTTTGCACCGCGTGGCCCACATGTCTCGCACATAAGCCTTGTTTGGGGGGGGGGGGGGCAATAATTGAGCGATAGGTGGCGTTGTGTTCGCGAGCGGTGATCACCGCTATCATCATCATGGTTGGTAGAGTGGTAGCACCGGCGGTGACCCCTGGCGGAAGGCAAGCCTTGTTGCCGGGCGAGAGAGTTGAGCGAGTCTCTTCAGCAGGTGGCGTTTGGCGTGAACAGTTGCTCTCGCGGCGTGTCCACGGTGCACGGAACCACGGGCCGTCTGCCGGGGGCCCGCGCGGTGAGTCAAGCGTTGGCGACGCCGCCTTTTGTGTGCTCTTGTAGTTGTTATGTTGCAATGTGCTGAGTAATATTGTGTAAGGATGTCTTAGAGGGTTCATCACGATTGATGTATAATAATTCAGCTGACGATATCGTCGTTCAAAAGTAGATAAATATGTGTTTGGTTTGGTTTGGACCAACCGCGTCTGCTGTGTCCATTCACTCCAAGAGCCTGGAACACTCACCACCAGCGAGACCTCACATATCTCGCAAAAACATGCTTAAAAATCCTCTCCAATTTTTTTTTCTGCAATTTTGCTTTGAAGTATTAAATGAATATTCAAGCAATATTCTAAAATTATTCAATTTGATTCGCACTCAGAATTCAATAATCGAATTTTCCTCGCACCCAAAATTTTGCTCTTCACAAGCTCTAGTATTTACTGAAACGTAACATCAGCTTTTTTTCTAGGTTTTGGCAACCAAAAATTTAGCCGTGCGAATGCCTAAATTCAAGTTGTCTAAAAAGTGCATTAATACACACCATTAGTTTATTTTCGTTTTATTCTTTTTTTCCAGGACACGATTAAAACTCACCCCCCACATCACAATCGTAGTTGCTAAACTATCGACCAAATATGGTACTGGTGCACAAATGGGCTGTTCAAGTAGCTCGGAGGGACAGAGAAGCAAACGTTTCACAAGAAGCAGTCGGCTTTGTACATAATACGCACTGTAAAATACACATTTCTATCTTTTTTTCACCTACTCATGATCAATACGGCAATACCTATGTTTTACCGCAACAATGTTCAATTTAAGTTTTACTGAAACAAACAATTTCCCCTGAAACCCCCCTGCAATCACAGTTTTGCTTTCTCAACCTGCAACAATGCAGGCCATTCACCTAATCACTACGGTGAGTGTCCCGATAAATGTACTATAGTGCACTTTCCATTTTACTCTCACACTTTCTAGAAACTGTTGATGCACAATAAAAGGCTTCATAATTAGTGATAGACAACAGAACAACCGTGCCAGTTTTATGATAAATGTGGTTACAGTCAAACCCCTTTAAAGAAACACTGATATAAGAGACAAATGGGTATAAGAAAGACCTGTGTACCTACAGTAAAATACGGGTTGGTAAGGAAATGCATGCGTGGTAACTTGCTTATAGTAGACATCACATATAAAACACAAGAACTGCTGCCCAGAACATGCCTTTATAATGGAAGTCAACTGTATTCTGTTAGAAATGCACGTGATCTGAGGCAGCTAGTGAAGAAAGACGATGAGGTTGAGGGAGTGACACTCGTGAAGTTCAGCCTGTGTGGCGTTTGAGTATACAGCTTGTGTGGCATGTGTTTTATTGTGAGAGTAAATTATTCTTTTTATTATGGGGTCGAAGATAACAATTACATTCTAGCAAGCCAAATAGCTTATTTTTGTTCTTGCTTGGGTGACCCGGATTCACCTGTTCAGAGGTGCTGTAAATAAACTAATTTCTACATCAGATTTACATGAATACCCACACTCCAGATCCACTTACCTCTTTCTCCTCAATGCCAAGCACTATCTTTCTTTTTCTCATCTAAGGAACAAAAAAAGAAAGAATACACTATTTAAAATCAAGTATTTCCTCTTCTGAAAGCAAACTCAATCAAGTGGAGGTTGTTACATGCTAAAATACTGATGAGACTATAAAGCACGCCGTAGTCCACTACCCGGGTTTCTTAATGTGCGACTAAATCAAAGTGCACGGGCACTTTTGCCATCCACCCATACAGAAAAGTGGACACTCCATTGTAAAGCTGTGCCGCTGAAGTGCCCAAGCACAAACAGTGGCTGCTGGCACGGCAACTAGGACAGAGCAGTTGCCGTTATAGAACTATTACAATTTCACATGTGGTGCAGCTACCGTGAAATGACACAGCAGTGGAGCTTACCACACTGCTGAGGAGGCACTGGCCCAATGCAGTCAAACCCACTTATAAAAATACCAATTTTAACAATGAGAAGCTACTGCACTGTCAACTTCTACATATTTTCTATGATTAAATAACTTGCTTAGCAATGCCCACATGCCAAATTATCGGTTATAACAACGAATTATGGCTGTTGTGTGACCACATTGAAAGGTACGGAACGAGAAGTCCTTGAAAAAAAAAAGAAGAAAACGAGAAGTTGCAAGGTGCTGAACCCCAACCCCCCCGAGCACCCCTTCAGACTCGTGGTATGCTGCACCGCAGCACGGCGGTGGGGCATTGCAACAAAGCTGACTTTTGAACTCCGCTATGACATCGGAGTGGCGGTGAATGCACCTTTGGACGTGCTATTTGAGTAAAAGTTGTGACTTCTAAGGGCTACAGAATTTGAAACTTCATACATTAGCTTTATGGGGCTTGTGAAGGTCCCGTGAAAGTCTCCTAATTTTCAAGTATGTACAAAAAATTGGTAGCTTTATCATCCTTATTACTGATGTCTGTTGGCATATTTCATCGAATATTATTGTTTTCTTACTACAGCCAGTTCTCCCCCTATTTTGGTTTTTGTCGTGCAACTTATTATAGCAATTATCGGTTATAACCATGAAATTTTTGTGACACTTGAGTATTGTTATAAGTGGGTTCAACCGCATATGCAAAAAATACCTGCTGGGTGCAGCATGTCTTTGCACAGTTTAACGCAGCATTTCTATCCCCAACAACATTGGAAACAGACTGCCAGACTCACCTTGTCAACAAAAATCAGCTCCATTCGGAAGTACTGCAACCATGTAACAAAAGAAAGCAATCAGAAACCTGCTAAACCAACAGTGGCGTAATGTAGTTGTGCTGAACGAAGAAAACAAGAAGACAGGACAAGTGGGGCACAACACTGTTCCGTTAATCATTCGTGCATTTTGTTCAGCACATCTATTTTGCAATGCCATACCAACTAACCCGACCTGAAGCTTTGCTACGGCAAAGACTCAAGAATGGGCTGCCGTACCTCGTGCCAGAGCAGGGACGACTTGTTGTTGAAAAGCAACCCCCTTTGAAGGAGCTTGCGTGCCATTTCTGGAGAGGAGTTGCACTCAAGCTGCCACTTCGCAGCTGCCACCCAGATCTCTGGCAGAACAAAAACAGCAGCCTTGTGTCAACGCTCACTTCAAACTTGGTTCTACAATGCTTGTAGCTGTTCCCAGCCAATAATGAATAGTTTTCTGGGAAAGAAATGCCCAGCAGTGTTATAGGGTACCATAGTTACTAGGAGGGTGCAACATTCAGATATATTACGAGTAGTGTCGATACGATTCGATCCTGCCGGTCGGCAGTCGAGCACAATAACCACCATGGTGAGTCTCTTTCTCAAAAAAAGAAGAAGCATTGTGTACAATTACGATTTGAGTGAAAATCAATAGCATTAAAAATTTCTGTCACTGAATCTGATCCCTCAGATTTCACTTCAGCTGGAAATAGTGAGGTAGGTCTGTACCTGCTCCAAGGTCACTAAGCTGCCATGGTTTGCGAGGCATTTGAATGTACCACGTGAAAATCCAGGGAGGGTCCTAAATATTAAATGCACTAGGACGTTCACAGAAAAAAGAAAGCCTGCAAGAGCGACAGCATGCTATAGATGGCTTGCATTGACGTCCCTTAAATTTCCATGTTGCAGCACCGGCATCTGGGGATGTGAAGCTTGGGACATGGCATTAATGTTATCAAAGCAACATATGCAGGTTCTTTTATTATTCATGCATAGAGGCATTCTTGCCAGCCCAATGGCAATTTTTCCCCAGTTTCACCACCACATTCAGAAGCTGCTTCCTTGAGCTCAGATGCAAGTTGTATATACTCCATGTGCTGAAGCTGGGATGCAATAAGCTTTCTCAGTAGATGAAAGTTGTCATCATCATCTTTTCTACCACAAAAAGAATGGTGAACCAACAGGGTTTCTGGCCATGAAAATTGGGTGTACACTACAATAAAGGCAGCATTAATAATAATTTATACTACAATAAAGGGAGCATTAATAATAATTTATGGGGTTTACCATTTAGAAAACCACAATATGATTATGAGAGACGACGTAGTGAAAGGCTCCAGAAATTTCGACTATCTGGTGTTCTTTAGCATGCACTTGAATCTAAGTACACAGGCCTCGAGCATTTTTGCCTGCATCAAAAATGCAGCTGTCGTGGCCAGGAATCAATCCTGCTGGTCAGCAGTCGAGTACCCTAGCCACTAGACCACCGCCGCGGGTAATGAAGGCAGCATCAGAAGCATGTAAACACGCTATGTGATCAAAGTACAGCTGTATAACATATTGCAACAGTCGAAACACGAAGACCACTCACCTGGCCTGTGACTGTGAAGATTTAGCATGCGGGTATAAAGCGTTCCCACGACATGGTTCCAGCCCTACAGAAGGGGGAGGAAAATGAGAAACGGTTCTGCTTTAGTCACCTGAAATCTATATAAACTATCATGATGATGTATTGTCAAAATTTAATGAAACCTTGCCCTGTCAACCAATCTGCTGCAAGAGTAGCACGACATGCGGCATAAGTGACGTTGACTACACTTCCGTTAAAAAAAAAAACGTGGCCAATCCCCTATATAGGAATCGGTAAAACACAAAAGTGAAACGTGCCCTCACTGAGGTACCGTTTATTCTGCATTGTTTCAGCAACAGCAACAAATTTCAGTCACATTAGGAACAATAAGCAGCTCGAAATTTGTAGCGCACACCTCAAGCAGAAAGCATGCATGAAATCAGCACACACAGGACGAGCGTGGACTAACAACTGCCACAGCTTGACACTTAAAGCGCACTGTTCTAACAGAAAGAAGCACAAAACGAGTGCACAAGTATACACAGGACAAGCGCGAACAACTGTCACCATTCTTTCTGCATCGTGTGTCATCAGTGCGCTCCTTTCGTAAACGCGACCGTGGCAACATGCGAAGTGACTGTCGTCCTCTCCCGAATTACGAGTCTGATAAACACGCGCAGACCATGCTCTGCAAAGGCAGCGCTTCACGGAGGTGACGACCTTTAGAGCACGCCCAACGCAAGCTGTCATGCCATCTCACCAGTGATAACAAAAATGCACTAAAGTTTTGAAGCTCTGAGGACTGCCAAACGGTGTATGATGTAAATAAATGTCTTGTCATTAGCATTGCAGACAATGTGCGCTCTGTAGCATGGTGGTTTGTGCCACGCTCTGAGAATCGAGAGGCTGCTGGTTCAATTTCGTGTGATAGATGTTTGCCTTCTGTTTTTTTTTTTTTTTTATGCAATCTCTTAGTATATAATTTTCAACTTTACTTTTGTGAAGAAAGTACGTCAGCGGAGCCGTGGTGGACATCAGCATAAAACACTGTCATGTTAAAAAAACTATATCCTTCACAAATTTGGATTCTGTAAAGGCATCTAACCTTAGCAACTTTTTATATAAAGCAAAAGATACACTCACCATGCGCACACAAAAATCAATGTGCGACAGCCACAGCTTTGAGTCACCACTGAACAAGAGCACAGCCTTCTGCATTGAAAGACAACAGTGGATACAATGTAAATAAAAAAAGACCGCCAATTTTTCGAAATAGAAACCAATATGACTTGCCTTAAACAGCTTGTTGATTCTTCTTGCAATCATCTGGTCGATCTCTGTTCTCTTGTCTGTTATGCTAAGCCTCTGGGAAGAAAAAAAGCAGCAACAGTGAACAAGCACTGTACAATGCACAGTTTTCAGTAAATGGGTTTGAATAGCAGCTCTTACCGCTCTCCGCTTCTGGAGCAGCTCGTACAAGTTCAGCTCATACTAAATCAGAAAAAAGAAAAAGAAAATATGTTGTGTATGTGTGTATATATGTATATTTTCTGTACATGGCATTATCCAGCAAACATTCTGCCATACCTGCCAAGTTCAAGGATTTTGAATCCGGGAGATTTCCGCAACAGGGGGGGAGGGGTCATTAAAGAAACAAGAACAAACAAACAAAAAACATCATGAAAAACAAAAGGGTGGGAGGAGGGTCTTGATTGCGCCAACATCAGCGTTGTAGTCTTATAGTGGCTAGGAGTAGCCGAACACACGAGGGTAGAGTTTTTCACTAAGGTGAAAGTCTCAAAGGATCAACACAACTAGCAGAATCTATTTCAGTCAAAACAACTCGCGTGTGTCTTCCTGGGACACACGTGAACGTGAACAGACGGGACGGCGCAGTTGGCTGGCGCAAAAGCGCGGGTCAAAGCATTGCTCACTGCTGGAATCTTTTGACAGGAACGCCAGAACGGGTCTGGCCCCTTTTCATTGAGACAGCAATTATATGAACAGTCAAGGCCGTCTTTTTTTTTTTTTTTTTTTTGCCGTCGCCACCATCGCTGTTCTTCACCGTATATGTATCTATATCTATGAACACTCAATGAAAAAAAAATAGCAGCATATCCACAGTGTGAATGATGGAGAGTGGGGCGAAGCATACGTTCGTCCGTCCGTGTGACCGTCCGTACGACCATCCGCCCGGCCGTGCATTTGTTCGTGTGTCCGCACGTCCATCCGTGTGTCCGGCCCTGCATCCGTCCATGCGTCCGTGCAGCCTACCGTGGGTCCGTCCATACATCTGTCCGTGTGTCCGTTCGTCCATCTAGTCAACACTCTAAGTACCACCATCTCGCATATTTTCATCATATATTCCGCATATAAAAGCACCACCATCCACCGGACATTCCAAGGACTAAACGAGAGGTGGCACACGCACCCTTTCTTACGGCTTGCGCTTCGTGTCTACTTCCCACCTTTAACCACCTCGAGTTCACAGTATATACTAGTTCATTGTATTCATGGCACTGCGGCCCAATGCTCGCTAAACCTTTCTAAAACCAAGGAGGTTATGCCCAGGGAGTATAACGTAGCAACCCTTTCTTGTCAGATAGTGCTCAATGTACATGCCAATGGCTGCTAATGGGGAATGAGAAACTGAGAATTCCGATTTTAGTTAACGCGCACGCTGCGAATTTTTTATTGTTCAACGACGTACAGGAGAAATTTCCCACCGGCACTACCTTGCAGGTCAAAACGTAAGACTGGTTACGCACTATGATGAGGGACGAATGGGTGCTGCTTTAAGGAGCTTTGCCCCGAAAAAGCCGCCCGCGTTCAGCGCCGAGCTCGTCGCGATGCGTGCTTGTCTCTCACGTGTACTTTGCCCCATGGATGGATGCATGTGCATGCACACTTATCCTTTGGTGGGGAATTGTGCGCCTTCGGCTTTCACTGAAACGAAAGCGTTAGTTGCCGGGCCCACAAAGGTCACGTCGGTCTCTGCACAGGCCCCTTTTGAAAAAACAGCGCGCTTTTCATACACAGAGAGGTATAACAACATGGACACTTGTTAGTTTGTACTCATCTGTACCTGTGATTACGTATCGTGCATTGTTTTTGTTTAAACAACGCGTTACGTGTCGAGTGGTAAACGCTGTTAGTTTGCACTCATCCTGCGAGTATCGTTTTCCAGCGTCATTTATGTGTGAGCGGCGCGCTGCACGTATCGATCTGCTTGCTGTTCTCAGCGTTACATTACAAGTTGTTGCTGTCCCATTTATTGCTTCGCCCTTGCGGCGAAACTGTAACTTTTTTTTATTTTTACGTATTTACTGCTTTTAACCTACCGCTGTGTGCCCTCAGAGCTCGTAGATCGCTATCGCATTGCCAAAACCACGGTTTTGCGCTAGCTGGTTGCGGCAAACGGTAGTTCATTTTACAATCCCAATGCGCTTCGCTGCGCATCCACCATCAAAACTAAGTCGCTTTATGCCATCTACGATAGCATCTGCCGCAGGTTTGTCCGCAGAGTTTATGGAAAGCAGCGTTGCTTTGACTGGTTGAGCGCATACTTTCGGGGTTCTCTCAGTTGCGTCATCGCCACACATGATCATGTCAAGAGTGACCGCGGTTTCGTCCTCAGCGGTTGTGGCAATGACAATCACACTCACTGTAGTGCGCAGGTCGCAGGCGTACTTCCGAAGCTTCGAGTACGCTGCTCTTGGCCTTCGTTCGACGGTTTTCGTACTGAAGTTCGTATCACCCGCAGCGAATAGGAAATGTGTTCAGAACATTCGAATTGAGGCCCAATGAACATAGTAAAATTTGGCTGGGGAATTTAAGAATTCGTATCTGCCGCGGTTTCACATCATTGAGATTATACTGTACGTTAACATGAATGCCTCTTAAACTCATAATAAAATGGGGTAGGGTTCGAAAAGCCTAGAGCGGATTTAGCTGCTTTTTTGTCAATGCGGCCAGATCAGGCACAGAAATTTCAATTGCCGGGAGATTTTCATCCGGAAAAAATGGTCAACATCCGGGAGTCTCCATGCCAATCTGGGAGACTCTGCAGGTATGTTCTGCACACCACTAGAATGATATTTTTCAATGAACAATGTTATATGCACTGCAGTGTGTGCAGACATTGAATGTGGCAAGTAAAAATATATATGCAATGACTGGCAAAGTTGAGCAAGTATCCCTACTTTGCCAGTGGCACTTGTTAGACTCCTTCAAGGGAAGAGTCAGCAACCTACAGAGCGTAGGCCTGGGAGTGCTCGTAATCCATTTTACTATTTTAGCACGCTTGTTAACAAAACAGGGGATAGAAGAACAACATGGTCACCTGCCAGCACAGTAACCTACATACACTGTGCCACTTCATGCTAGCATCACTACTGCCCGAGCCAGGGTCAACAACAAGGTGCCCGTTATATGAGACGTGTGTTAAGGCCACCCAAACCAGAGCTGTGAAGGTGCAAATACACTCTCCCCCTCAAGACTAGTGATGCCAGCATAATAGTAAAAACTGCAAGGGCAGTATGTATGGCAGGTTAACGGACCCAATGACACAAGTGAACCTGTGATTCTTGCAAATTATAGATAGTTTATTTATTTATTTACTTATTTATTTATTTATACAAGTGCCTCACGGGTTCCACGAGGGAACATTGCAGGAGGACATTTGCAGGAGGTCAAGAGGAGACTGCAGGAGGACATTTTGATTTACAAACAACAATGAAAAAAAAAATGTATACTTTCCTTATACAAAGTATGCAAATGTATACTTTCCATATGCAAAGTCTTAACTGCACAAAAATAGAAAAGAACAAAAAGTGTAGTAAATAGTAACATTATATAATTTAGAATGATAGTACATAAGTACATAATACAAATGTGAAATATTTTTCTATGAAAGCCAGAAAAAATACTTTGCTGCGCAAAATAGAAACAGATAAAAGAAACAGTAAACAATAGCGTTAAACAATTCAAAACAATAATAGATAAGCATATAATACAAATGGTGATAAAATGTTACAATGTTATAGGTGACCATGTTAAGAATGAGAAACTAGCAGGAGCACATTAGGTAAGACACACACTACTAGGGTTCAAGAGGCAGTTTTTCCAAGCAGGCTTCTAAAGATCTCAAATTCTATGACGTTTGCTATATGTTCAGGAAGATTTTTCCAAAGTACTATGGCACGTGGTAATGCAGATTAATTAAAGGCGTTTGTGTGCCCATATGGACGCTGACAACTGAGGCTATGCTGCAAACGATGGGAATATCGATGAGGTTTGAGAAATGGCAAGGAAAAACGGTGCTTGCTGTAGGCAATCCTGTGTAACAGACGCAAAAGAGAAAAGATTCTGCGGGATGCGAAGAAGAAAAGAGAGAACGACTGCTTGATCTTTGTTACGCTAGAATGCCTGCTGTAGTTACTGATGATAAAGCGAGCGGCGCAGTTTTGAACAGATTCCAGGCTTCGCCATAGATAACCTTGATCAGGTGACCATATGAAAAATGTGCATACTAGTATTTGGTAAGCGAGCTTGCACGTGGAAGGAGGAGCATTATGAAGGTTGCGTTTTATGTAACCAAGCGTTCATGATGCATCAGCTGTAATCTTGTTGATATGACTAGACCAAGAAAGGTTCGATGTCAAATGGATGCCTAGATACTTATAAGATGATGTATGTCATAGAGGGCTACCATGAAGGAAATACAGAACTGTTAAAAGTGAGCACTTTCTAGTGAAGGTCACTTCATTAAACTTATCAACGATTAAGTCATTAGACAATCTGAGCACCATGTGGTTACACGATCAAGGTCCTGCCGCAAAGCTGTATGATCTGATGGTGAAGCGATTTTGCAATTAACGCAGTCTTCGCAAAGATGCGAATTTATGACGTGATTTCTGAGGGAAGATCATTGATAAAAATTAAAGATAACAAACGGCCAATAACACTTTCCTGAGGGACACCAGATGTCACCTCTGAGAGAGAGGAAGACATGTTATCAATCACAGTACACTGTTTGCAAAAACACAAAGTTTCTAATCCAAGAACATGTAAGTGAATCTAAGTTGAAAGATGATACTTTAGTTGTTAAACGACGATGCGCTATGCAGTCAAAGGCCTTAGAAAAGTAGATGAATATGCTGTCTGTTGGTAAATTTTCACCGAAGATCTCATGCATGAATTTAATTAGCTGTGAAGCACAAAAAAGCCCCTTGCAAAAGCTGTTCTGACTTCTTAATAAAGAATTGGTTTTGCTCTAAGTGTGATGCAACATGTGAAGAAATAATGTGCTGAAGTAGCTTACATAGGATTCTCATTAAGGATATCAAACAATAATTACTGGGCAGGCATTTATCCCTAGATTTGAAGACCGGAATGACCTTAGCAATTTTCCAGTAATATGGAATCTCGCCAGTTTGTAGCGATTGCTGAAAGATGTAACCGAGAATGGTACTAGACGGAACAGTGGTCTGCGTTAAGATTTTCAAGTTTATGCTATCGACACCTGAGCATGTTGACGTCTTAAGATTAGTAATTAGGGAAGAGATACCTGCAGGAATAATGACTATAATATCCATAAAGCGATACTCATATGTACATGGCAGATGCATGTTAGTGTAATTTTCTTTTGTAGAAACTGAAATGAAGTAATTATTAAACACGACTGACTGTTGGTCATGCGAGAAGAACTTGTGTTTCGCTCGACGCACAGCATGACAACAAACCTTATAAACACGATGCTGTGCCCATGCTACTGAAGATTGCAATAACCTTGCTTTTCTGAAAAGACGCTTCTTTCTATTTCAAATGGTGTGAAGTGTATGAGTATACCATGGTTTAGATATATTAACGTGAATTGTCAAACGAGAGATAAGTTGATGCACCAGGCTCAACAATTTTTCTTTATAAAGGCACCAATTTTCATTGACTGACCGATTGAAGAAGAAGGTCACAAATCAGCGAGAGAAGTCTTCTAAACTCTAATTTATGGATGAATAGTCACCTCTTTTATAGCCAAGTATTGGCCTTGGAGAGACACAAGGCTTGGATGCAGGTAAACTAACACATATCTGAATGAGGCGGTGGTCATTGAGACCATCTAGATATAAGGTTGAGGTAGCTTTTTCAGGAGCTGATAGAAGCAGAATGAGTTCTGTTGTTAGTGCAATCCGTACTATTAATTTAACATTGCTCTTTCCCAATTCATGGTGACCAGTGCAGAGTCCATCATCAATCTACTCACATTGGCTTGAAAGAGCAGTAAACCTAGCTGAGATGTTATCTCGTTTACAAAGGCAGGAGGTGTACTTCTTCACTGTGGCTTGTGTGCACATTAATTTGATTGCTTCACGGTTTAATGTACAGAGGAGGCACGTCACACGAGCTGCAGTAAAGGTAACTGGATATTTTTACAGTTTCTTTTAATCCCATGCCTATGAACCTACATATGTCGCTCTCTAACTTATGTTTTTAATAGTAGGCGGTACCACCACCGGTCAACGCACTTGCTCGTTTTTAGTTATACATTCTAGGTCTATTTGTTTTTAACCAAACGTTTGTTTCCATTCAAGCAGCCACAGTTCAGAAATAAGCACCATCCAAGAACAAATCGACGAACACGGGCAGCTTGAGTAACAAGTGCGCTGAGAACACAAGAACCGCATAGTTGACACATTGCGATTCGCATTACAGTCTCCTCTCGCACTTGACTCGATTCCGTCAAGCACTGAATACGCTAAAGCGATCCCGCATCATTCATCGCTTTCACAATAAACACTGTAATACCTGTATGTAGGTCAAGTAGTCTTCTTTGGACTTCTTCCTTCGACGCAGGCGATATTCGAACCGTTTCCTGCGTCTAAGAATTTCTCTGCAAGTCAATGCATCACTGATTATTATAACTTCAGATAACTGCACGTGAATATGGGTACAACTTTCAAGCCGTCTCCGACAGCAACTGAGATTTACAACGTGCTTCAGCCAGCTCGAAGAGCACTTGCCTCACTTGCTCTCTCGTGACTAGACCGGTCCTTTCCATTTGCTCCAATTCGGGAATGAAGCCCTCGATGTTTTTCTGAACAAGCTCCGCCATGTTCAGACGCTGTCTCTGTAATTGCTACAAAGTATACTACTACACAGAAAGCACGCGGCTGTCACACGCCAAAATTTTGCCCGTTACACGCGGAATCGCGGACCTTGTAGCTTTCACGCGCACGGCTATGGATGGCTATGACTATGCGGCTATTGTGCAGAGCCATGATAGCAATAGCGGTTTGGCTCTATGCAGGAGCTGTTCTACTTTCGAATCACTGAATACTGTGAAATGACGATACCAAACAATTTTGTTTATAAAATACCTTGAACCACTCCAATAGTAGTTTGGTGAGCACCTCGGCCAACTGTTGCGTTTTGTGCAGAGCACTGGGAGCATTTTTTTCCTTCCGTGGAGGAGTTCTTTTTTTTTTTTTTTTCAGGGCTATGGTAGATATCCACGCTGAACTCGCTTTTCCTAAGATTCCTTAGCTCTTTTATTCAGGGACTTTAGCTCTTCCGACCGCGCGGGTTCCGGGCAACGATTCGGGGCCAACGGGGTTGCGGAAAACAGGGACGCGCCTGCCACGTACAATGAAATAACAAAATATTTTTACCTCGCGCGGAGACTATATCCACTCCCTCATCCACGTCTTTATAGGCCACAGGCCCTTACGCTCAGACTACTGCAGACCGACACGTACCCTAACCTGAGATCCCTTCACGCTATTTATCCTGACGTGTTCCCCAACGACGCTTGCGCCGCATGTGGGGGTGTATCCACGCTGGCGCACATGCTCTGGGAGTGCAAGGCAATGTACACTAACCCCAACACTACATCGGTCAGGTGGGAGGCGGCCCTACGCAGCTCCCTCCTGGCCGACCAACTTTGGGCCGTCCAGCAGGCCCGCGGAGCGGCCGATAGGCTTGGCCTAACGGTCCCGACGTGGGAGTCGCCCGCTGCGCGCTGACGCGCGCCTTGCAGGACCTCAATAAAGTTTCGCAACCAACCAACCCTCCCTCTACTTACGTACTACAAGCACAGTTTTTTAATGTGTCGCTAAAAGCATTGGAGGGGGGAGGGGGGCTGACAAGAGGGCAAGAACATACTTCCTCTACTCCCGTTTATCAGTGTGCGTCATGACCATGAGCACCCTTTTTTCTTAGTCTGTTTTTTTTTTTTTTTTGAACACGCATCAGTGTGATCAAGAGCGTGGCGCGCGAGCATGGCGCGGCATACCCCGCTGTCACCGCGATCGCTCAAATCAGCCAATTACCGTGGACTCGGGGTTTATGGCGTGGTCATTTGGGTTTATGGCATCATTCGTCGAGAGAACAGGGTAAGATTTCTAGCTCCGTTGGAGAATTATTTTAACTTCCCAGCGAAATGTTCCACCATAATACTTGATTCACATGTTCTCAGAAGCGTCGACTACCAATCGGCAATGTTTTCCGACCATGAAAAACTTCAAAAACCGTCTCTTCATGAAAAAACTTTTTCAAGGTTTAATGTTCCCTCCGACTTACTAGCTTGAATGGCACAAAGCTGCTTTCTCTCTGGTAAAAACTCAGCCTAACATGAAGTATTTAAAGGCACAATAAATTTATATTAACTATTTCAATGTAGTTGCTATGTTACCTGTTAAAAAGTGTGGTCGAAAATGCAAGGCTATCTCTGCTATCCGGAACAGAAACAGCCTGCTTATTTACATTTTGTATAGCATTGCATAAGAACCTCGTCACTTGTTATGAATATTTATATGGTCATATATCATGTAATCACCGAGAAGAATGTTGCAGTCTTTCAAGCTGCAGTCGCCTTTAGCATTACTGCCACAAAGTCCAGCCTTTCTCCTCAGTCTTTAACAACAGCCACTTGAACTTACCGTAGCTTTCTTCACAACATCTCTGTTTTATCACCACACTTTATGCCACAATTCTTTGGTTATTACTACGAGGTACATATTCAATTTTGTAAAACCCAAAGCGTTTTTTTTACTGCACACACGAAATAATTGAAATCACCTTCTTCACCAGGGAAGCAGAGATAATTATAATTTTCATGAGGCAGTAAGTCTGTACATTTTTTTTACTCACTGTATTATGTGGCATCTTTGATTGTGCGTTATTCCGTTGTCTTATCTGTGGTGTTGGAAGGTGATACAACACTATCTCACGACATTGGCCTCGAGAATGAATGAATAAATAAATAAATAATTTTTTTGAAACTTGCATGCAGCTCAAAGACAAATCAGGGCTGTAAAATTGTGCACACAATTCCATGTTCTTGCATATTTGAAATCATATTTATTGTAAAATAATTAAAATATCTCCAGTCATAACACCACTTTTGTTATGTTTGGCTGTACATGTGGCGATGAACTTAAATGAAATGGCTACTTTGGCTGCTTCTAGCTTAAATTGCAGCTCCTATTGAATTTACCCAACGCACACTTTTTCTGCTTTTGACAAGGTGGTGGATACTCAGACGACTTCTTCTGTGACAATTCAGTATTGCTGCATGCTATAAATTGATTGGCTCCAAGTCCTCAGCAGTCAATGTAAGGAATACCCAGTTGTGTTTGTGTTAGAAGCCTTGAGCTGCTGAGTTGGCATGCAGCTTACTGGTGATGGCAGCGTGGTTCACAATCCTGGTCCTTGTCTCCCCTTGGTATTTGAGAATTTTGTTTGTCTGTAGACTTCTTACCATTTGCGTTCTATGGATTGACAGAAGTATACATGATAGGCAACACTCACGATGCAAAGTTTAACCAGAGACACAAGATTCTGATATAAGTAGACTCGCATTAAATGGAACCTAAAGGGACAAAAAAGAAATAAGTTACAATTAACAGGAGTTCCATTTACTAAGAAATGAAGAAGGGTGCAGAATACAAGAACGAAATCAATCTCGTCAAGAGCACTCATTTCATTTAAACTGAGAAATGGCTAACCTCCCTGTCCTTCCTCCTTCAATCTTCCTTCTTACTGGGAGTCTACTGTACTTATCTTTGTTTCTTTACTTCATTGCAATGGCTTTTTTTTTTTTTTTAATTTCACTGCTGGTGCGTGGGCATTGACAGTCAGATAATCACTAATGCCCAGCAAAAAAAATCACCATTTTTCTGAAAGCACTGATGTGACAAAAAACAAAATTGAATGCATTGTAGTTTGACAAAACACCCACAAAATGCCATTACCAGGTTTACTGCCACCAAAACATTGGTACCTGCTGTCCAGAAATGTTGAGACTTACTGACAAACTAAAGCTTTTTACTATTGGCCTCGCATGATAGTGTCTAATAAGTGCCACAACCAATTATCCTTATTTCTTTCATTGATTTTTCACGTTATCATGTCTAGGGTGCAAACAACACATGCATGAAGTTCAGTAAGCAAGTGCATCATAATCGACACAGTGATGTCATTGAAAAGCATAATTTTATTTATCAGCACTATTCATAAATAAGTTTGTGAGAGTGGCGTAAGAAATGCTTTTCTAACACCACAGCTCCAAGTAATGGCTTGCGATAATGACTCAGGTATCTTCCAGACCATCCACAACATGCGATTTATCGCTGTCGATGTCCAACGAAGATCCCAACAAACCAGGGCTTCCAGCTAGCATTGGATCTGAACAAGATAGGACAAATTAGGCTGTTACAACATTAAGTTTATTTATGTTAACTAATATGGCAAAGACACACAGGGTTTGCAGGAGAAATAGAGTATCTATGATCTTGCTCACCTGATAATATGACACTCTCTGCTCTGTGTTCACTCATTTGACTAGCCACAAGAGATGGATCATCCACCTCACCAAGACAAGAGGTGTCATGAATCTCCTGAAAATACAAAAAGTACAAGCAGCTTTTAAAAATATTTTCACCAAGATGTGCACTGCAACACTGCATAATTAGCCAATTAAATGTATAAAATTAACTGACTACAAATAGAGCAATGCAGCACTGGACCATCACAGGAACACATGCTTGAGGTACCATTAAGGGTTCCACAGCACAATGAAAGGGCACGCAAGCATAGTGCTGAACATTGAAGGCTATTTCTGTGTTATACATAAGACTTCGGCCTGCTATATATTGTCACGAGACTTCAGAAGTGCAGGGGTCTTTTAATTAAACAAGATGAAGCCAGCTCTCGAAAAGTGCGTCCATCGCAGCTGGCTCTCGAGTGAAAAACAAGCATGCAATCTTTTTTTTTTCTAGGGCAAGAGCCGCTCTTGCTCCCAACCAATTACATGCAGGTGGCATTATTCCCCTTCCGCAAAAAAAGCAGGAAAGACTAAAATCAAAGGAGAGAAAAAGAATAAGACATAGAGCCGCCCCGATGCTATAATATAGGCACGTGAAGAAAAAGGAGATAAAAACCCTAACAAAGGGAAAGCATAAGATAAGAAGCATGACAATAAGAAAAAAGTCAATGAACAAACAAGCAAGTTCGCAAAAATAAATAAAAACACAAAGACCTGTGAACGATGAAAAGTTACGAACACGTACTGAACGGTTTCATGCGCACAACAAGAACTATGTCCACGCACGGTCGTGTCCTGGTCCGTGTCTGCGGTGTTGAATCTGGGACCACATTATAGCTCACGTCATTGATGGGGCGTAGCACTTTGTACGGGCCAAGATACGGCTAAGTAACTTTTCACTGAGGCCCCAGCGGCGAACGGGCATCCATACCCAAACTTGCGCTCTGGGGTTGTAGGCCACTTACCTGCGGCAGGTATTATAGCGTAGTGCGTCTGCCTGCTGCTGCTGGCCGACGTGCAGTCATGCGGGCTGTCAAGCTTCCTCGGCACGCTCTGCAAATTCCTTGGCGTCAGGTGCCAACTTGTCGTAGTCTTGACACGGTAGCATAGAGTCTTGCATGGTCTACACTTCGCGGCCATATAAAATCTGAAATGGCGTGAATCGCGTGGTCTCTTGCACGACGGTGTTATCCGCGAAGGTTATGCAAGGCAAAATCCAGTCCTATGTTTTGTGCTGTACATCAATGTACACTGCGATCATGTCTCCAAGCGTCTTATTCAGTCGCTCGGTAAGCCCATTGGTTTGCAGATGCCGCGTGGTTGTCTTTCGGTGTCTAGTGTTGCTTAGAAAAAAAACTTTATCCATAAGCTGTGAATGCTGTGCTTCTGTCCATTCTTATGCTAAAAGGTGCACCGTTACACAACACGAAGTGGCGCATGAAAAATTGCGCTACTTCAGAGGCCATGGCTCATGGAATCGCCTGCGTCTCAGTGTAGCGTGTTAAATAGTCGGTCGCCACGATCACCCATTTGCTGCCGTCAGCAGACAGGAAAAATGGTCCGAGGATATTCATGCCGACCTGGTCAAACAATTTTCAAGGTGCATCAATTGGCTGAAGTGAGCCAACTGGCTTAACAGATGGTTGCTTTCGGAGCTGGTATTCCCGACAACCTTTGACGTACCGTTTGATGCTTGCTGAAAGTCCGCACCAATAGTATCTTTCGCTTACTCTGGCAAGTGTCCATGCGTAGCCCAAAAGACCAGATGTGGCTTCGTTGTAGAAAGCGAGGAGGACGTTGTCTCGCATGTCTCGAGCAACCACCGGTAGGTAACCACAGTCGTTCGAATGAGCGTTCTTCTTGTACAGCATGCTGTCTTGCAGGCAGAATGACATCAACGAGCGGGACAGATGACATGGTATGATTGTGCCGTGGCCCTCTAAATGATCAATTATTGGTCAAATCACTTCGTCAGCTTGCAGTCGTCTGGTCAAGTAGGCAGAGGTAATGGCGGTCGGGAAACCTTGGTCATCCTCTGCTCTGTGGCTGACGAGACGAAGGGGTGCGCGCGACAGTGTGTCAGCATCTTTACGCTTACGGCTGGCCTTATAAACTGATGGTGACATCAAATTCCTGCAGCTGCAAGCTCCACTGTGCTAGTCGTCCCGAAGGGTCGACAAAGTTTGCCAATCAACAGAGAGCATAGTGGTCCGTGACTATCTTGAAGGGACGACCATAAAAATATGGGCAAAACTTGGTGATTGCCCAAACGACTGCAAGACATTCTTTCTCCGTAGTGGAATAATTCGCCTCGGCACGGGATAGGGAGCGGCTGGCGTAGGCTATGACTCTTTCGATGCCATCTTGACACTGAATGAGCACTGCACCAAGGCCGTAGTTACTGGCGATCACCGTCGAAATGAGCGAGAACGGGCGCTGATTGCATGCACTGTTACAGTTTAGCAAAAGCTGCTTGTTGCTCACTTTCCCAGACAAATGGTGTGTCGTCCCTTGTAAGCCAAGTAAGGGGTTCTGCTATCTGTGAAAAGCCGTGAATGAACCAGCGATAATAGGCACACAAACCAAGGAAGCGCCGGACGGTGTTCTTGTTGACAAGAGCTGGTAATTCGGCAATAGCAACAAGCTTGTCTGGATCGGGCTGGACCCCTGTGGCGCTAACTACATGTCCAAAAAATTTGACTTCCTCATAACCGAAATGGCACTCCTGTGGCTTTAGTTTAAAGTGTGCGGATCGAATAGCCTCCAACACATTGCGCAGGCAGTGAAGATGCTGCTCGAACGTGGCAGATCGGACCACCACATCATCAAGGTAGACAAGACAAGTCCGCCACTTCAGCCCTGTGAGGACAGTGTCCATCATTTGCTGGAAGGTTGCCAGCACTGAACACAACCCAAAAGGATGCACTCAAAACCAGTAGAGGCCATCTGGAGTCACAAAGGCTGTTTTCTTGCGGTCTTGCTCATTTACCTCGATGTGCCAGTACCCACTTCTCAGATCGAGAGAAGAGAAATAGTAAGCATACCAAAGTATATCCAACAAGTCGTCAATATGCGGCAACGGGTACACGTCCTTTTTGGTCACATTGTTAAGCTTCCCGTAGTCGACACAGATGCGCAGTGTGCTGTCTTTCTTTTTGACAAGGGCGACAGGAGATGACCACAGACTGTTGGATGGTTTGATCACACCATCGTCAAGCATATCTTGGTCCGTGTCCATGCTATCGGCGGCCTCCAACGTGAGACAGTTGCTAACCTCTTCTATTTCGTTGACAAAAGCGATTGAAGTGCCGTGAAAGAGGTGTCAATTCTCGTTGCTGAAGTTGGTAACAAGCAACTGCAATCGGCCATCACAAAGCTGCATGACACTTATAGCTACACAAATGTCTTGTTTCGATAGGGGCTCAAAATTCGTTTTGGCCACCGCTTTGCAATTGCCCAAATTATAGCATGTGATGATCATTACACTTGCTCGAGGAGCAGGCGTGATGCTGTCCGCAGAAACACGAAGTACGTCAAGACGCTGTTCATCGTCCTGTACATCTCGCTTGGCTGCAGAAGTGACACGACGCTCTTGCCGGTCAATAATAGCGCTATACATATTCGTCAGAATAACGTCACGGGAGCACTCGCATAGGACAAGGCAGCTTGCAACAAACGTATATCCTTGTATCTGAACTCTAGTAGCACAAATGCCCCGAAGAGTACCGACATGGCCACCAGCCATCCATATCTGCACGTTGTGCTGCAACGTGATTACTTTCTTTAGCTGCAAGGCCAGTTTCCCGCTTAATATACAGTAGTCTACGCCAATGTCTACTAACACATCAACCATGTAACCATCAATCATCACTGGTTTGTCAAGTGAAAGCCAGTCGTACTGTGCAACAATAGGTGATGACAGATCAGTATTATTGCATCTCTGCATCTATCGGAGATCTCAGCACTTCGACGTTCAATGACCCCACCCCCAGAAGTCGCTGCAGTTAGTTTTATGGCGAGGACTGGGAGAACGTGCGGTAGAATACTGCTGGCGCAGCGGCGGAAATCACCTCGGCGACGGCGAGTGTAACTGGCAGATGGTGGCACATACTGCTGGGAGAGGTAGTTTTTGTTGTTGCGGGCCCGCTAGCCAAACCGGGGCGGTGGCGAGTGCGCAGAGAAGCTGCGGCAGCGGTATGGGCACTGGCAGTACAAGTGATCAGCTTCACTGCAGTGAAACCACTGAATCCGGTGGTCGGGTGTACGCCAAATATCTAACTTACAAAAGGACATATGCCTATCGTTGATGTAATGCACTGGCTGCTCCAAATCATGGCTGACTGGAGCGGTACATACAAAAGATTGCGACCTATACCTATCGTCGTAGTACTGTATTGGCTGCGCTGTCTGGAGCGACACGATGGGAGGAGCACGGACTACAGTGGCGGAGAGGCAACAGGCTGCTATAAGGCTTCCATGTAGGTCATCTCGTGGCGGTATTCAGTCGGAACTGGCGCAACGCCGTTAGGAGGCGAGGTGCCCCGTGATGCCTGGTGTAGCTTCTCTCTCATAACCACTGCAATAGAGCCAGATGTAGGATGAAATGTCACGCCAGTATTTTGCAGCTCCTTGCGCACCATGGAACAAATGAGTTCTCATAAGCAGTCATTGTTTCCAGTTGTGGCGAAAATGTCAGCAGTGGACATGCCGTTGACTTGTCTTTCTACAGACTGGAATGTTACTGCAGCATCTTTTCAATTGTCAAAGCCTCGGTCAAGAGCTCCGCAATGATCCAAGGAGGGCTCTGCCCGAGGCCGACAAAGAGCTCCTCTTTAATGCCACGCATCAGATGGCGCAACTTTTTATTCTTCGCCATTCGTGGGTCAGCTCATCGGAAGAGGTGAGTCATGTTTTCCACGTAAGTGGTAACTGTTTCATTTCGCAACTGTACTTGGGCCTGAATCACTCGTTTCGCTCGTTTTTGACGATCGACACTGGTGTAAGTCCTTAGAAGCCTACGACAGAACTTGCGCCACTCGACAGAACTTGCGCCATAGGCTCGGTCAAGAACACCACAACCATCTTCGGAGAGCTCTGCACGAGGCAGGCAAAGAGCTGCTCTTTTACCCTGCACACCTGATGACACAACTTCTCATACTGTGCTATTTATTCTTGGGTCAGCTCATCAGAAGAGGCATGTCATGTCTTCAATATATATGGTGATCGTTTCATTTAGCAACTGGACACGAACTTGAATCACTCGTTCTTGGTGACCGGCACTGTATAGGCCTCCAGAAGCCTATGACAGATCTCGCACCACGACGTACGGTGCTCCTTGAGATTCTGTTACCATGTATGCGCACCATCCTCCAGGTAGTAGACAAGTCCCATTTTCGCTGCGTCGTCCCATTGGTTCAAACCGCTACGCGCTCAATATCGGCCATCCTATCTTCAACGTCCTCGCACTCTGTGCCATGGAACGTCGCCGTAACCCATGGGTTCTCCAAGGTATACCGGTTTTGCATCATAGTTCCCGTGCTGGTTGAAGCTGTGTGAACTGAAGCGCTTGTAATACCTGTCGCAATGGTGGGATCCCCATTGTTGACTTCCGGAGGCAATCTTCTGATTCGGCGGCTAGTGGGAGTGATGACTGGGACTGGGCTCACAGGGTGACTCTCTGGAGGCGTCTGCACCATCCGTGAGGACTACCCAGCAACCAGTTTGTCACAAGACTTCAGAAGTCATTTACTTAATGAAAATGTAGCCAGCTCTCGAAAAGCGTATCCGTCGCGGCTCGCTCTCGATCGAAGAAGAAGCATGCAATCTTCCTTTCTTTTCTAAGGCGAGAGCTGCTCATGCTGTCAACCCAATACATGCAGGTACATGCAGACAAAAGGTTCAGGCAACAAGAAAGAAAACTCAGATTTTGAAAGCACAACCTGTACGGTCCTTGTGCCTAAACTTATGTCTGCATTCATAACACTATTTTCATCAAGTATAACAACACAAAACCAACCAGCTCTCCTTTCTACCAGGTACAAGGGGGGGGGGAAGGGCACGCTTTCATAGGAATATACTGAATAGTGACCTGGGAACTTTTGACCCCCCTTGTAAATTTTGTTCATTGCTGGATGGAGTCACCAGCATACATGTTTCTCTGGATAACACTAATAGCTAATTACTATGATGATAACTATAAGCTATTTATTATACATTTTCTAAGCCCAGAATTACTGCTCTTATGCAATAGCAATAGCAAGCAATAGCAACTAAGCAATAGCAAGAAAAATTATGGACCATCTCCCCAAAGGAAACCACGATAGGATGCGAACAGCAGCGGTGCGCATGCTGTTGACCTGGCTGAAAAGGGCGTCAACGCAGGTGCTGGAAGAACGGTTTGAAGCGAAACTCAGTGTAGCCTTTGCTCAAGTAAACACTTCTTTGAAACGCAAGGACACGGGAGGTGGGTTGGGTTTCGGGTAAGTTTCATCGCAGATAAATAAGCTGAAAGAGTGTTTTCACTTGACGTGCAGTCAAGCATTGCGGGCGGCGGAGTGGGTGAAGTGAGACCTAGGTGTGTTGGGAGGAACCGGCAGCTGCTACGGGTGAGAGAGATAGTGACGTCATTGCGCAGCTGCGACTTGACCTACTTGGCATCGTTCCAACAACTGGAGTGGGGAGAATGCAGCGCATCGGCATGAAGACACGGAGAGACAGCGTTACACAGGCTAGTCAAAGAGCTGCTTCGCATCTAATATAAGCATGGTGCTTTCTGCAACACGCCAGTTGTGTGCAGACTGCATTTTTGTTTACCTCGTCAGTGCCTTATGCCATGCTACATTACCATGCCAGCTGTAAGCAACTGACCTCAGTAACATGTGGCCAAAGCCATTGGATGCACTCTGATTATGTAAACTGCCGACACCTTGTTCCTTGCTAAATTGGGTGTAAGCCCGACAATGAACTACATCGACTTCCTTCCGCGACAGAAATGGGTCGGAAGGTCGAGGGAGGAACCAAAGCAGCCACAGAAGAGTCGTTGCATCTCTTGTAGCTTCCTTATTACCACATTAATTTACAATATTCCTGCAGTAGCAGATTCACCTCGTATGTCTTTTCACAGATTACAGACCTCGGAGTTGTTCAGTGGCCCTTTGCAGAGGCTTATGTCCTGTAGTGAACTTAACACATTGCTTATGGGACTGACCTGTACTTGAAATTCCTCTCCATCAATGCAACACATGGCATATGAGCTTGAACTATCTACGTCTGATGTGTCCAGGGAAACAGTGTCAGGTTGAGGAGATGATGGCTCTGCAGGCGCAAGACTAGTGTTGCTGTTGACAACAAGTTCTGCAGGAGGAACAGCAGGTGGCAAGTGCATCTGCACGAGGACGCTTTCAGCAGCCTGACGGGGCTCAGTCTGTTAAAGTATATACACAGTTTTCATTAACAAAACAATGAGTGAATAGAATGCCCATGCTAACAAAAATATCTGCAATGAGTCGGGACCAAAATTTGGCATTATACCTAGTATAAGGCCACTTTCCTTCCCTACAGGGGTGCAACAGCTGAAATAAGATTCGAAACAATTTTCGGAGCAGCAAAATATCACATTTGGAGCATGGAATTAAATTGGGAGCAGGTTACAGAAAAAAAAAACATCCATTTTTAATCACAAAATTCCAAATTTCCAGCAGCATAACAAACAATGCTTGTTTCTAGAAAACAAAAATATGTAGAAACCATTCAGCATCACCTAAATTGTTCACAGTGCTCGTGAGCACTGATATTATAACAAAGGAGTACTTGAAACCACCCCACAGTGCAAGCAATGATGAAGTCTACATTAGGATTTGTAGCCCCTGTCAAATCTTTTGACAAACTCTGCAAGTTCAAATGTGTCTTCTAAGCCAGCGACCTTGAAATTTTGGGTATTCGTAAACCAATAACGAGTGAGGTTGCAAAAAAAATAAATACAGTTGAACCCCTTTATAGGAGACATGCAGCAGGCAGCAATTCTCGTTTTTTACATGAGGGGTCTCTTATAAGAAGGGTACCACTTATGTGTTTTTTTTATGAACCACTATTTCTATGTAGGCCCACTGGTTCCTCTACTACCCATTTGTCTCTTACATCAGTGCCTCTTATAAAGGGGTTCGACTGTAGCATAAGTTTTTTTTGTTGTTGTTTCTTAGATATTTGTCTTACACTACTACAAATGATTGCCAGTAACATTTTTAGATGTCAGTGATCATAATAGTATCCACAATTATGTGGCGAATAAACGCACGAGGAACAAAATGTACTGTGTCTTATGACTACTGTGGGGTCTCGATATGGCGAGCACTACGCTCTTGGAGTGAACGGACACAGCAGACGTGGTCAGAACGAACCAAACAATACACATTTATTTAACTGCTTTTAGACGGATGATATCATTAGCTAAATTAATATACATCAATTATGAACAACACACTAAAACAACCTTACACAATATTACACAACACTCCAAAACATAAAAAACACAAGAACACACACAAGGCGACTTCGCCAATGCCTGACTCACCACAAAGGCCTCGGTGCGCAACCCGCGGTGCTGCGCACCGGGAACCCACCACTAGAGACACACGCCAACTGCCACCACAAAGAGATCCGCTTCTTTTTCCTGTGCCGCCACGCAGGCTTGCTGCCAGGCGCCGCCACCGGCGCTACCATTCTAACCATGATGATGATGGTGGTGATACACGCCCCCGAGCACAACGCCACCTACAGCTCGGTAGTTGTGAACCCGAAATGCGGCCAATGTGCGAGACACACACGCCACGAGGCGCAAACAACATTACAGGGGGTGTTAGCACCCCCACACTTCATATTGTTAACAACCCCTTCTAAATCACAATATGCTTTTTCGCACTGCACCAGCGTACTGCGACAAAGATAGCTTAAGCAGCGTTCTGCACGAGATAGCACAACATACATACAAATAACTATTGAAATTGCACGAGATAGCACAACATACGTACAAATAACTATTGAAATGATTGATTGATATGTGGGGTTTAATGTCCCAAAACCACCATATGTATATGAGAGACGCCGTAGTGACACTAATAACACTAATAAAAACACCAGATCTTAGGATTGACTGAAAACCACTACTAATAGTGCAAGTAGACAACGTGTCTATGTTCAGGTCACCACTGAAAAACAATACACATTTATTTTGTGAGACAAATTCCATTATTTTCTTCGATCGATATGTGGGGTTTAACGTCCCAAAACCACCATATGATTATGAAAGACGCCGTAGTGGAGGGCTCCGAAAATTTCGACCACCTGGGGTTCTTTAACGTGCACCCAAATCTGAGCACACGGGCCTACAACATTTCCGCCTCCACCGCAAATGCAGCCGCCGCAGCCGGGATTCGATCCCGCGACCTGCGGGTTAGCGGCGGGGCAACTATTGAAATGTCTTGCAAGTTATTGCAACAGGCAGAAGATTCTGTTTAGGTGAAGGTCACGAGTTCATGATCATAGCGGCTTCCACAGCCCGCTGGACAGCCCAAAGTTGGTCATCATGGGCAGAGTTGTGCAGCACTGTCTCCCAGCGTGTGCGGAGGCAATCACTGAAGGTTTCCCTTTCTTGGCAATGATGTGTTGGTCAACACTGCATCTTGAAGGTCTGCTTGAACTGCTTGTCGTAGGATAGGAACTTCAGTGGTCGACATGTTCTCAGAGATCTTCGAACAGGCTGTGTGTTGGAAGTGCTGTCTGCGGCGATGTCTGGTTCTACTGGGTCAGTCACAGGAGTAAATGAACCAGCACCGTCATCATAATCCTGGTCATTCATTCGAGGCACTTCCGAATCGCAGGTTGGCTGCACATCTTTTGTCATCCCATCATCGGATAGGTTCCTAAAACTGAAGGCTTCCGACGGGGGTCGTAGATGCTGTCTATTTCGCCTGCACTGCTTGCTCACTGTCCTCAGAGAGTACTCTGTAAGAACGAGGTGCAACCTGCTCAAGCACCGTCGCTTTTCTCGACCATCCCTTCTCATCTTTCAGGCGAACGATGTCACTTGGCCGAAGTCTTGAAAGCGTTCTCTTCGGTGCACCCCGTTGAGGCCCCTTTGTGACTTTTCGGCTGCCAGGTGGATTAAAGTCGGGAAGATCAGTTCTGAGGCGGCGATTCATTAGCAGTTCACCAGGGGAATTGACCACCGCACTCTCAAGCCCTTGATAAAAAACACCTTCTTTACACTTTTATACACTTCATACACTTTAAAGGAAGGAAATTTTTTGAGGTAGTCTAAAATGCCACATCTACAACTACTTTTTTAATCAGAAGAAGCTGTGAAATTGAAATACATATATTGAAAAGTCATGTAGTATAACTTTTTTTTTACAAATGGCATTAAGGCAAGTGCCACTTTACTTGATCAGGACGTCTTGAAGGGCTAGTTGGTTCATTCTATGCAGGAAAAATTGCGCCAAATAAAAAAGGACACCACAAAGGAGGGACCCACTTTACTTGCCTGTGTGGTACCTTGCATCTTACGGCAATGGGAAGTTAATGCTATTTTCAGTGCCCATGTAATAGCAGTATAAAGATTAAAACTTAAAAGGGCCTTGTATATGCCACCCGGCTTCTAGCTCCTCTTGTGCAATACATAAAATCAAGCACACGACTCACAGGAAGTGTCTGTATGATGATCTGCCCTGGAGGTAAAGTGGCAATAGGAATACTGCCTGGGCCTGGCGTGGTGAGCAAGATGGCTTGCGGAGGGGCTGATGGAAGCTGAAAATTCTGTGGAATAACTTCCAAGACGCCATCTGTCGTTGTTGTCAGGGTTAAGGGAGCCGCTGGCTGCAATGTTGTTCCCGTGAGACCCGAGGCAACAGCTGCAATAATGCACACTGAGGTGTAAGCAACATCAATGAGACAACACCTCATCAAATAGACCTTAAAATAATGCTTGTGCGGCTATTCAGACAAAAAGAGAGAGAGAAAACTGAAAATCCCAGTCATATGTTTGCAGATATTCCATTCTAATTTTTCTATAATATAATATAACAGACATGCCTTGCACCAGTCTGCTTCAGGTGGCTAATGTTTGGTTAACAAGCTGCACTTTAAAACCGCTGCCTAAACACATAAATTGCTCCAACTAGAACAGCGGCACATACACCAGGAGGTTTTGCTTTAGTTCACAAAATATAAACAATCTAAACTTTTTAAGTTGGATCACTTGAAGATGCAGATATTCCTTGCAATAATAAACCAAAATGCATGACAGACTAATCAATAAAGCTGCCCCCCTAACTATTTCATGAACATTATCATGGGTGCGGCCAGCCAGAAACAGGAGTGAGAACTTCCTCACTACACCCCTCTAAATCATTTTACACCTTTGTATGCGCTACAGTTATGAGTTGCCTGGGTGGGTAGCACCTCCGTCAGAACTGAACAGAACTCAAACCCAAGGTATTATTAGTGCTTTGTTGTACTGCAACATAATGTCATACAAAACAAGGCCAGCCTACCAGTAAATGTAGTAAACAAAGGAGCGTGAATTATTCATCAAAACAACAACGGCAGCAGTGCAAGAAAATTGAAGAAAAACAGCAAGAAATCTTCACTACAAAGGTGAAGGCGTTCAAGTGGGTTTCCAAATCCCCTAAACGAGACGAAACAAGTGTATATTTCAAACAATCCTTCAATGTAATCCCATTTGCTGGTCTACAAAAGGAACTCCAGGCAAAAGTTATTCTCTTCAGCCCCAGAGATCTCAATTAGGGTCACTGCTTCGAGCAAGCGAAGCTAATTCTGAAAGAACAATATTTTTTGCCTTCAAGTTGAATTACTTGCATACAGAGCTATACTTCACTTAAAGGGAGACACAGCTCTTAGGACCCAAAAATTTGGCCAAAAATTGAATTTTCAAAAATGTTATTTTCATATTCTTTCTGCCATTGCGCACCAGTGTGCAAGTTCTCATTTCAAAATCTCGCGTATTAGCGGCGTAACAGTAAATCAATGATGCGATGGCACGCCCAAAGCCCTTTAAATTGTAGACAAATCGCGCTTATTTCGGCTTCTTGTAACTCTTGAACGGCACACTCTAACGCTGCCATTTTGGTATTGTTGAAAAGCTCTCAGGTTAAAATTTTTTTTATTGCTCAGTCAGGCAACACTGAGCTTACCACTTTATCAAATAAAAAGGAAAAAGAAAGTAAGCATAAAACGTCATTGGCCACTTCCAAACATGTTGCTAAAATGGCGTCGTCTGATTGGCTAAGGACGCTGCATTTGAAAACCTGGCTAGTTGAGGCGCCATTTTGGCTTCGGTTATGATCCTACGATGAACGTGCCTGCAGGACCAAGAAAGTTCTACTCAGTGTATAAGATCGACCGAAGGTGATCTAAAATACAAAACAAAAAGAAAACGTGATAATGGAAGCGATCAGCAAGCGAGCGTCGTTGCTGAAGCTGTCATGAGCAGCAACATAGCCCAAGTGAGTGCTTGTGAGCAGGTCATGCCTGAACGACTTGAGTCGACACCTGGGACAGCACGAAAGACTGCAATTTTCGCCGATGCAAATGCCGTGTCATTGGCCTCCGCCACGGACACTGCAGCTTCATATTTGATGGCCTACTTGGAGATCCTGAACGGGCTTCTGGCTGATTCCCTACGGTGCAAAGTGTGGTGGAAAGTATGTGGCGGGTGTACTAAACTAGTCACGGGTGACTGCGACTACTGCCTCTCTAAGAAACTGATAGTGAAGTGCAATCGTTGTGGCAAAGTGATGACGGCACGGAACTCGCACAGAGTCGATGGTGTAAAGTTGTGCAATAAATTTGAGATAAGCATTTTATCTACGCGTGCAATGCTCTGTAGTGGGAATGGCCAGACATTCATGAACAATATTTTCGCGTTAATGGGACTGTCGCGGCGGGTGCTGCACAATAAAATGTTCCAACAACAATTTTTGTTTATTTGAATGGCCAAAGTGGCATTTCTGATGGTTTCATATTGCAGAATCAAGAATCCACTATATCTCCAGCAGATTAGTTGGGGGTCCCCCAGGCAAAAAGCTGTGCAAACAGCTTGACGGGACCTGGGGGCATACAGAGGGCAGCACATGTAGCGGATTCTACATAGCTGTAAACACTGTCAACAAAAACAAAGAGCAAAATATGAGGAAAATCTAAAAACGTATAAGAAACATCAGAGCACTGGTACAACATGATGTACACGCCATGAAAAAAAATATATCTTCATAAAGTAATCACGCACATCTGATTTGAGCACACTGAAAGGGGCACTGAAATTTATATGGGATTTTGAGCACACTGAAAGGGGCACTGAAATTTATATTAGATTTTAAGAAATTGTAAAGAGTTGGTATGCAATACTCTAGTCTAGCTCTACTGTAGTTAGTGCATGTATGGGGTACTGGTGTTTGCCTGTTACGTATGCTGTAGTCATGACGAGTGTGTTCTTCATGTTTTGGAAGCTTGTTTCTATGCATATAAAGGGAGAGTTTATAATTGTGTAACTTGGAGGCTTTCAACGTATTATGTTTAATTAATAGGGGAGCAGGCCTGGGTGCCCGGTAAAATTTTCAAACAAATTACCTTATTTTGGAGCTGTTCTAGTTTATTAAAGTATGTGGTTGTTGTTGTGCCCCAGAGGGTACAGTATGAACAATGCGAGTAAAAATTTGCATAATATATGACACTTTTTAGCCCTAGTAAAATTTAGTCTCTAATTTTGTAGCGGCATCCAACTGCTTTGCCCAATTCAATTGATAGCTTGTTAACATGCGTGTTCCATGACATAGTGTCGTTAAACCAGACACATAGAAACTTTTCTGATGAAACGTGCTGAAGGGCTGTTCCTTGAAAATTAAGAGTGAGTTCACAGTCACATTTTTTGTTGAATGGTTTAAATGTAATATATTTATTTTTCTTAATATTTAAACAATCTGTTAAAGTCCAGCCATTTGCAAAGCTTAATTAAGTAATTATTTATTGAAGTGTTTTGAGTTACTTAAAGTTTGCACGGAAAATAATATGTTGGTGTCATAAGCGTACATGACCAGTTTCAGTGAGTCAGGCACATGACATAAATCATTTATGTAAAGTATGAAAAACAAAGGTTCTAGAATGGAGCCCTGGAGCACCCCGTATTTCACAATAGAAGTTGGAGATGCCAGTTCACCGACGTTCACACACTGCTTTCTGTTACAGAGATAACTTTTCACGAGTTCAAGAGCAGTGCCGCAAATACGATAGTCGTGTAGTTTAGACTTCAGAATATAATGATTCACACAGTCAAATGCTTTCCTTAAATCTATGAATAAGCCAACAGTAAAAAGTTTGTTTTCTATGTTGTTCAGAATTTTATTTTTAATTTGCAATAGCGCCATTTCCGTAGATTTCCTTTTCTTGAAGTCGTACTGTGAATCACTTACTACGTGGTATTCAGTTAAAGAGTTAAAGAGATGGAGCAACAATATCTCTGGTTCTACTCAACCAGTCTCAATAATTTTTTTTGTCAGCAAGGTGGTGAATTTAGAAGCGCAGCAGGATTAGTAAATAGTTACACATTATCAAACAAAATTTATAAAATCATTTTTTTGAAGTTATTATTGGGTTTTACAAAAAAATTTTCAGATGTCCTAATTTTCGAGATTGTAGTAAAATATTCATTCTTGCCTGATTTAACCCGTACATTATCCTCAATCACTGTAGTGTTCAAGAGGTTTCCATAATTATTTCTAACTTCTCCTGAAATGTTTTTTCTCATTTTCCAAAACTGTGTTTTTGATTATAGTGTAGTTTAGAAGTGACGATACCTCTGGGGTTACTTATCCTATTGCAGTGATTCTTGTTTTGTTAGAAAAGGGGACATATGGGGAGTGCAGTAGGTATAAAGTTTGAATGAATAACATGAGAGATATTTTCAAAAAGTAATAATTTCTCATAGGTGTTACTCAAGCATTTTGCTTACAAAAGTTTGACATGTTGTAACTTTGGCCCAAATCAGTCTAGAGCATTCATTCTTGTAGCACTGCAAGCTTTGACCATACAACACCATTTTCATATGCCACTGTCTTTTATCACTACCAGCATTCAATAAAAAACTCACCTCTAAATGAATCAATGCAAAAAACATGAATTTCTCAATGTTTTTAAAAGTACTTGTTGCACAGAAAAAGTAATTGCATACTTGAAATCAGCATGTCAAAATACACAAAGGATGGAAGTTTGATCAAAATTTACCCATAAATAATAAAAAAAAACATTCAAGTGGTGTCCCGTCTCAATGAGATGGCACTTCATTTCAGGCATCTGTGTGCACGCCAGGTTTGAAAATAGCATTTCCCTGCAAATGTCAACTATTTCATCCTTGTAGACATTTCTGCGGTTTATTTCTATGTAGATGTGTGATAGAACTAGTAATGAAGAGCCTCCAATGAACCTGTAATAAACTTTTATGCACAATGTATATGGTAAATTGTGGCTAACAGCTGTTTAACAGGTCAAATACATTTTATTAATTAAACTTATTTAGACAAATATTTAAATTTTGCCAATTTTTCATTGTTCATGCGAATGAATATTTTTCCACTTTTTTTGTATGCAGAAGAACAAAATTAATAAGTTATACATAAATTGAGTTGGGATTTCCTTCTCGGGACTGAAGAGGTTGTAAAAGAACATTCATTGACGTTCAGTGCCAGTTGGATAGAAACAAGTGGTTATTTGCAAGGGTTCCTGTGTTCAATAAACATACTGTACCAAAAAGTAAATAAAAACTTGCCAATGGGAAGAGTTGTTATCCCTGGCATTTGTGGTGGTGCAGCAGCCTTAAGAATCCTGAGAGGTGCGCCAGGTACAACAATTTTCGTATGCTGCTGCGAGAGCTCGTCGAGCGTTGTTTGCGAGCTGGTCGCCCCTTCATCCTGCAGCTCCATCTTTGGGCAATAGTTTTCATACAAGTAACTGCAGATCTCTGCAGGAAAAAATGGAGTCAATAGGCTAAGATCATCAGGCACGCCAAGGTGTTGACAAGGGAGAGAGCTGCACAAGCAAGAGACTGCTGCTAGCTTAGCTTGATGAGAGTGGCATACATGTGACCTTGGCACAGGCCTCATACAGTTCGAAGCGAACCGATTGTTAAAAATTAACGAATGAAATGAGACCCAATGACTGTAACATTGGTAAACAACATGCTTTCAGTGACTCTTGCTTAATAAATTGTAGGGGTTACAAGTGGGGAAAAAATTAGCAATGGAGAAAAATTACAGCGCAAATATACAACAAAGGTGTAAATCATAGTACTAAGTTTCAAATCGCACAAAACATAATACAATAAGCATAAACAATTACAGTTGAACCTCCTTATATGAGACATTGCACCAGGGAGAAATATTTTATATGGCAGTAGCACGTATGCATTGTCATATGAACCACTACTTCATTTGTCTCTTACGTCAGTGTCGCTTATAAAGAAGATGGGTTATGCACAAACATTTGAGTGTTATTCTTTTTTTCTTTTTCACTGCACATAAAATGTATTAGAAATGATTCGATTTTGTGTAAGTGTTGGGGTTATTCAGTTTCAAATACCCTTCTAGAGGCTTCGGCATGCCTACCCACTACATGAAAGTGGTAGATCTAAGACACACACAATATCCATTAGAATTACCAAAGAAGGTAAACCTGGTATACTTTTTGCAACGGCCGGACTTGAGGGGAGCCGCATTGTGTGCAAGTGCCGTGTCTCGCCTCTAGTAATAACTGGTGAGAGAGGGGCTAGTTGGTGAATTGTTTACAAAAAAAAGACGATAAGCACAAAAAGGACACAAGCGAGAGAGACGAGACATACATAGCTTTGTCTCTCTTCCTTGTGTGCTGCCCTATTTACATATCGTCTCTTTTTATGAAACTTCCCTCTTGTATGGCCATGCCTCCTCACCCCCCTTTTGAGAACTTCTCCATACCTTCTGGTGCGCTCTACCTCATGAGGCAGTTGCTTCTCTCACAGTGTCCAACATAATCTTGCCAGTTTCCAAAACAGCAAGCTTGCATGACAAAAGCATCTGCATCTTCGACGATTCCTTATAGTGCGTATGAATCATTCCTCCTTGGTTGCAAAGCTCCCCCCAGAACATAATCTTACCAATTTCACTGACATGTCACGTACACTTACGCGTAAAACAGATAAAAGTTGCTGACAGTGCGGCAAAGTCATGTGCAGATACACATGCAGCCAATACTTCGTTTCTTTGCAGTGTGAACGAAACTTTTACAGGGACGTACCTCGAAATGCTAGTTTGCCAGCATTTGGGACGGACCTCTTCAAACTCCACCACTTCCCACGTAACCACTGTGGAGATCGAACACTAGAAAACAAGAAGGCACCACAGTGAATAAATGCTGTCCAAGTTAAGAGACCCCTCACTAGGCCCCATAACGAATTTTAGTTAGACCATGACAGTTGCTGTGTGTCCGATGCCACAGGTATTTTTTCAATCGGTTTGTTACGAGCCGAGAGAACGGGTAATTTCAAGCAGCGTCAAACTATGATGTAAGGAGGTGAGCTTGAAACCCTTGCCGCTTGCTCCGCATTACCGAGCACGAAAACTGCCACATTTCACCGGCACAAGAGTGGCGGTACCATGAGCTAGTGCCGCATTAACATTTACTTGAGCGTGGTAAAACAAATGAGCGTAATGAGTGCTTGAATGCATTAAAACATTACTTTCGTTTCCAGGGTTGGCGACTGCTCAATGTATTAACTGCGGGGCATCGTGGGAACACAAACGCATGCAAAACAGAGGCACACTAGCCCCGCATGTTGCTGCAATTCACCAAAAAAAGTAAAAAAAATACACACATTCCCTTTGTGTGTGTCTATATTTCTGTCAAGTTTTATTCATCTATTCAAGCAATAATTTGCACAAACGACATGTCACGTCAATTATTTTCGCCATGTCACGTGCTACTGTTGGCAACGTCAGAGCACAGCCGTCTATGTAGTGGACCGACGTCACAGCATTACCGTCTACGTAGGGCAATTTCTACGTCTATTTCACGCCCTCATTCTCTGGGCGCAAGCATGTGAGAAGAAGGGCGAGCGGTATTGAGCTTGAAATTAGACCCATTTATGCAGCGGACAATGTTGCAAATTTCGGCATATGTGATCATAAACGCCGCTTTAATGCATGGCACTTATCAGCTCAAAATTATGAAACCTGATGATGGGCCCCACTTTAAAAAGATGCATTCTGAAAAAAAAATATAATCTGCAGCCTAGGATAATGAAATTTTCTGCTGTATAAATAGGCCTAATGCTGACTTTAAATATGTAATTAGTTTTATAGTAATATGCACAGTTTTTTTTCGTGTCATGAGAGTGTGGAGAAGTATAGTTTGTTAGGGACAAACGTTTTGGGCCAAAAATTTGTGATTCTGAGCCATTAATGGCTTATTTTACTCCACATTAGCTGTAGAATGTAGATAACTATCAAGAAAGTACACATAGAACATTCTGATGGGCAAGCAAAATTGTGATGTAAAAATTCTTAGAATTCTCAATTTATACTAATTGCATACTTTAGGTTCGTAATAACTATACAGGTGATATTAGGTTCTAAAGGAGATACTTTTTTGTTTGATTTCATCTCAGCAAGGAGAAAGGGGGTTGCAGAAAAACCCTGCCTTACTGCAGCTTGACTCAGCCTGGCTCCTTGTGTTACAGTCTGACAGTATGCAGCACCGACTATAGGTACATGGCATGCTAACAATAAGCCAAGGAAGGCACTTTGCAAAAGTATAAATACAATAGCATAAGGATGCATAAAGTGAGCTGACTTTTTTTTTTCATCCATAAATGTAGCAACGCTATGCCACTACAGCAATAAAATATGCACTAAACATTTGAGAAAATAATATGTGGCAACGAATAATCACAACCAAATAAGAGAAAGAAAACGTAATGGTCACAACAAACTCTATATAAACAGGCGAAAACATATATATAATTGGTATATGCACAAATATTGATGCTCTGATTTAATTACATGGCGGGATCGAGCGATATGAAATGCGTGAATAAGAAGCGAGGAAACGTGTTGTCCAGGTTTATTACATGTGTATTTAAGGTGTTTAAAATTTCAGCAATACGATAGGATACAGATTGCTGCCCATAGTTAGTATGACAAAAATGTGGTAACCAAAAAACTGCATGTCTTGTGCTATATAAAGTTTCGCGTCGATGTAAGTTAAAAAAATTCATACTAACATTTCCATTTCGCAAGGCATTTCAATACATACAAGCCAGAGCAAATAAGTATATGAACTCAAATAGCATTATTTTGTGTATGTAAAAATATTTAGACATGTGTTCTTTGAAAGCAAGATATCCTACAGCCTGAATGACTTGTTAATTTTAGCTTAGTAATGTTTTGCTTTGATGTTGTACCTCGAACTAGGCGGCAGTAATTTATTGTAGAAAGAAATAGGGAGTTATACACAGTATGTTTCACAATCATGGGCAAAACATGACGGTGTCTTTGTAATAATTAAGTTATTTTGTTTAACTTTGTGCAAAGACAATCAACCTGTTTTTGCTCCAAAGCAAATTTTCGGTTTTTTACCTCAAATTGTTTTCCCTCGTTTGAAATTTTAATTTCTTCATTGTCTAAATACAGCCTTCTTGTCAAATTTAGGGCCTTATGCTTTGGGTAAAACATGATCACGTGTGTTTTTTTAGCATTAATTTTTACATAGTTTCCATCACACCAACTTTTGATGTCCTAGAGTACAGTGTTCGCACAATTTGTGAGTGTGTCTGAATTTGTGCCCCTAAAGAAAAGTGCAGTGTCATGGGCATAAGCAATCCATTTTAAACTTTTAGAGGTCAAAAAAAGATCACTCATGTGAACAACGAAAAGAAGTGGCCCCAGAATACTCCCTTGTGGTACACTATGTGGAATAGGTTTTATTTTTTTGTTTGAGTGATTGTCGTTAACGTACTGACACCTATTATGAAGATACAAAGACAAGAACTTGTTTGCGGGACCATGTATTCGGTGCTGTTCAAGCTTAGCTAAAAGTGTGATATGGTGAACGGTATGAAATGCTTTTGAGGGATCTAAAAATATACCCATGACCAGTTCCTTCGAATCAAGTGCAGTACTTATAAACTCCTCTTGAGTCAATAAAGACAATTGTGTCGGTCTTCCTTCGAGAAAACCATATTGTAATGTCAAGATGAGTGAGTCTTTGTCTAGGAAACCACATAATTGCTTGTGCATAACTTTTTCCAAGCCCTTTGAAAAAGCAGCTAGAATGAAAATAGGCCTAAAATTGTTAAGGTCGTTTTTGTTCCACCCTTTGTGAATTGCAACTACTATATTTACGCACATAATGAACGTATTCGCACAATAAACGCACCCCCAACTTCAGTAGTAAAAACTTGGATTTTTTTTTTCCCTGCGTAATAAATGCACTCCCTACATATGTCCACTGCAGTCCCGAAACCGACACCTAGCGCCTTCTTGCCCGTTGGATCTCTTCCTTTTTTTTATTATTATGCTGACCCCCCTCGGTCACCTCGGCTCTCTCTCTCCCCTCCTTTCACTGCTTCAACGCACCACATCCTTTTTCTTTTTATCTGTGCACGGCACATACCCAGTCACTTTCAAATATCTATGCGCCACAGCGGGTTACGCGAATGACGCCAGTGTAGAGACATCGCAGCTGACAAGCACACAGTAAGCGAAGGTCACGAAACTTCCCGCGCCCCAACTGAAGGTCGCTGCCTGCAAATTCGAAACTTTAAGGCCCTAGCACATGCACACAATTTTACAGCGATCACAGGATTTGCTGTCACTATGGTTGTTGCGAAGGGCCGTTCGTCGCCATCGCGTCGCAGGTTTTGGAAAACCAGAAAAAATCGTGACTACTTCCGCAACATGTTCCCCTATTCTCACTTCGGTTGCAAGCGAGGCGGCAGTCGTATTCTGTTGTTAATCTTGTTATCGGCGATTTGTTTTGATGCTTTGGTGGTAGCTTGCTGCAATGTTGGTTGCTTGCTACAATCTAAACAGCATCGTCGCCGTCATCGTGCGAGGTTGTCACGAAGTTAGCAAAGTGAGTCGTTGCGTCACAGCGCATGCTTCTGGGCGCCCCAAGAGGTTACAGCAGATACCACTGTTGCGGTTAAACGATTGTGAGAAAAGATAGCCGCGAAATGCTTCAATGGCATGCACGAGCGGTGCGAAAACAGCTTGTAGAAGATAGCGTCTTCAACCACCAAAGATGAGTGAAGTGCAACAAAGGAGCTGAGTGACCTAACTTCTTTTTTCATTACCACATTTTTTTGCTCATACCAAAAAAATTTTCATAAAGTTTGTCCTACATAATAAACACACCTCCAACTTTGCTCTGATTTTTCCAGAAAAAAAAAAGTGTGTTCATTACATGAGTAAATACGGAACCTCTGCAATTTGTATTTCCTTTGAAAAGCAGCTCTGTCCTATGCATAAGTTATAAATTTCAGCTAAAATCGGTACCACGTATGTGTATAAAAAATTTAATTGGCCTACTTTACACATCATTAGCATCACGTGACTTTGAATGATTTAGGCTGTGAAACACATTTTTAACTTCATTTTCAGTTGTGGGAAAGAACATTATGTAGTCAGCAAAGTTTGCTGTGTTATGGATCGAGAGAATGCTTATTGTGTTATAATTTCTCGGCTCTCCAACATCTATAAAATGATCATTTAGAATATTTCAGAAAGCTGCCGCGTGCAGTTGTTCACAAGCATGCTGTCAACGTTAGTTATATCAGTTTGTCTAATAAGGTTGTTCAGCCGTTTCCACAACAAGGTATATTTGCTTACCACATCATTAAAATAAGCTTGATAATACTGTTCCCTCACAGTTTTTCGCTTGGCATTGAGCTTATTTCTAAACACTTTGAAAGCCTTAAACTTATCGGTATCTCTACTTTTTACAAATTCCCAGTACATGCGGTTTTTCAAGATTATCTGCTTGTGAAGGTGTAAACAGTTATCCCAGGCCTTTCAGATTTCTTAGATTTTGAGACTATGATCTTGAAAAATGTTTCTGATAGATAGATTTAAAATCTATAATAAATGCTCAATACATGCTATCTGCATCGGTCACGATAAAATATGACTTCAGTCATGATTCTGAACATTAAAAATGAAAACGTTGTAGCCAACTATCTGTGATATTTTGCACAAGCGCACAATTGGTACACCCGCGCTTTCCTTTATTTCCCAAAGAAATAAAAGCAAAAATATGAAGGTGGTCCCTAATATCGCACAGAAGGATTTGATTTGAAACTACTTCACAGGGCTCAATAATC